CAAAGGGTCATCAGCTGTCTTGGGACCACCCCCCCCCCCCCCCCCGAGCGCTGGGCACCGATCATGACACCTGCTCCTCATCCCGTCACTGTGGGCTGCCTGCTAACTCTCTTACCGGTCTTTGATGGGGTGGAAACTGAGGCCCAGAGTGGTCAAGTATTTTGCCCACCGCCACACAGCCCCGAATTGGCACAGGCAGGTCCAAATGAGGCAGGATGAGTGCAGAGCCCTTGCTTCTCAGAGCCGCAGTGGTTTTTGTTTTTTAAAGATTTTGTTTATTCTTGAGAAACAGAGAGAGGCAGAGATACAGGCAGAGGGAGAAGCAGACTCCCTGCAGGGACCCAGATGCAGGACTTGATCCCAGGACCCCAGGATCAGGACCTGAGACGAAGGCAGCCGCTCAACCACTGAGCCACCCAGGCGCCCCGAGCCTCCGTGTCCTGGGAGCTGTCAGAGGGGTACGCAAATACCGGCAGCGGGTGGCGGAGAGTGGTCAGGAATCAGGGCTCGTCATGGGCGAGTCCCCCCCACGTCATAGCCCTGCTGTGGGGTTCCGATGACCTCATGCCTCCCTTGCAGTGGCTCAAAACTTCTTGCTGGCCTTTTCGTTTTTTGATTAATAACTTTCGTGGGAAAATAATGTCAGAAAGTTTATTCAACAGGATGTTCACAGAGCTACACCTTCAAAAACAAACATTCATTTTGTGACCGCCCACATGGTGCCAGGAGCTGGCGGGGGATGGGATTTCCGGTGGTTTTCACTTTCCTCTTTATAACTTTATGTTTTCTCTGAATCGGAGAAGGCCGGCACGTGCCAATTTAGTGATCAAATGCAAACAAACAAACAAACAAACAAATGGTAAGCAGGGCTTTTGTGTAAAAAGTAAAATAAAGCAGAGGCATTCCCCCTCCCCAGGAAAGGGGGGAAATCCTTGTAAAATCGAGGCTGGAGGTGTGCGGGGCAGGGGCTGGGAGACCCGAAATCAATGCATCCGCATCAGCGGGCCACCCGGGTCCGCTTGGCCCAGCACCCTCCTGCTCTGCGCACCTCTGGTCCAGCCCCGCGGGGGATGCTGGGAAACTCCCGCTGCCAGCATCTCGCCCCGCCCACACCTGCGCCCACCTCCAGCTCCCGAGGGGACAGTCCTGGGGCGGGGACACTCTTGGGCTGGGCCCACCTGATTCGCCAGATCCTGGCTCCCCCAGCCCCCCTTGGGGCAAACATCTGCTGCCTGTCCTGTCCCCTCTTCCATCTTCCCAGGTCCACACTGAGACAATGGACAAAGGTATGTGGGAAGAAAATGATCTAGCAACCTGCACTGCCCAATACTAAAATCGCTAGTCACAGATGACTATTTGCATTTAAATGTCGTCAATAAAGTTTAAGGATGGGAGATCCCTGGGTGGCTTAGCGGCTTAGCAGTTTAGTGCCTGCCTTGGGCCCAGGGCGCGATCCTGCAGTCCTGGGATCGAGTTCCGCTTTGGGCTCCGGGCATAGAACCTGCTTCTCCCTCTGCCTGTGTTTCTGCCTCTCTCTCTCTCTCTCTCTGTGTGTGTGTCTATCATCAATCACTCAATCAATCAATCTTAAAAAAAATAAATTTAGGGATCCCTGGGTGGCGCAGCGGTTTGGCACCTGCCTTTGGCCCAGGGCGCGATCCTGGAGACCCGGGATTGAATCCCACATCGGGCTCCCGGTGCATGGAGCCTGCTTCTCCCTCTGCCTATGTCTCTGCGCCTCTCTCTCTCTCTCTCTCTCTGTGACTATCATAAATAAATAAAAATTTAAAAAAAACTAAAAAATAAATAAATAAATAAATTTAAGGATCAGTTCCTCAGTCACACTAGCCACATTTCAAGCACTTCCCAGCCACACACGTGGACTGTACTGGACAGCGTGAAACCCTCCCATTGTAGCAAAAAAGTTCTGTTGGATGGTGCTGTTCTGGACATTCCTTTGTCTTGTTACAAAATCCCTTTCCTAAAATTGTCCTTTGAGCCAATATTTTGTCTTTCTCCTTCCTTCTGATCCCCTTCCTGCAAATCTAAAATAAAACTTTGATCCATGCCGGTAATTTGAATTTTTGTGTTTTCTTTAGCAAGAAACTGACTCTCAGGGTATAGTTAATAAACACTGGAGTGAAGGGGTGAGTTTCCAGGCGGAGAACTCCTGACCAGTGAAGGGGTGGGCATAAGAAGCCAGAGTGCCAAGAGATGATGGCGGTGATGATGATGATGAGGGAGCCTATCTCCAGGACGCCCCGAGGATGCAGGTTTAATTACTCTTCCTGCTTGACAAATGAGAAAGCCAAGGGATGGACAGGATAAAGGGGATACAGCAGAGAAGGGGCCTGGGGCTCCACACCCCCAAAACCTTGGGGTTCCTTGCCTAATTTGGAGAACGGGGAGGCCAAGGACCAGATTTTAAGGAGATTTTAGAAAGTTCTTTGTTGAAGAAATTCCAAGGTCGCTGGCAGCTAGCCATTCCCTGGGGGAAGTCACTTCACACCCGAGTGAGAATATCAGCAATGAGGCTTTTATTTTATTTTTAAAGATTTTTTTATTTATTCATGAGAGACAGAGAGAGAGGCAGAGACACAGGCAGAGGGAGAAGAGGGCTCCATGCAGGGAGCCCGATGTGGGACTTGATCCCGGGACCCCAGGATCACTCTCTGAGTCAAAGGCAGACGCTCAACCACTGAGCCACCCAGGCATCCCAGCAATGAGGATTTTAAACTGTAGCTCCCCTTCCCCAGTCACTGTTGTCAGGAGGAACCTGAGTCCCCCACTTCTGCAAGGTGGGAGGGAGCCCTGCTGGATGGAGGGACACTTCCAGTGGCTTCACTTCCCCTCTCTGGCTCGGGCTGGGCAGCTTCTTTTGGGGATTGGGGAGATTAAAGATTGGTGGCTGGTATCCATCAGACCGTGTTTCTCAGCCTATGGGTTAATGTGCAGTTGAACCAAGATGTAAATTCCTCGCTCCAGCTCCCATCCTGCCTGAGCTTATCTCCCACCACTGTCCCTGGCTCACTGCGCTGTAGCTGATCTTTTGGAACTGACTGTGTTGAATTCATTATGCCTCAGGGCCTTTGCTCTTGCTCTCCCCTCTGTTCAGAATGCTCTTCCTCCAGCAGTTCCTGGCTTCTTCCGGTCATGGCAGACTCAGCTTAAATGTCATCTCCTTAAAGACCTCCCTTGTTAGTTCCCCCTACCTCAGACTCCTCTTTTCTCCATAATACCCCCCAGTGTAACCTTCTCCTTTGTCTATTTAACGTCTGTCTCCTACAATGAACTGTAAGATCCAGGGAGGAAGGGACCTCGTCTCACTCAGTGAGAGCCTTCAGTATCTGGCATGGTGCTGAGCATACAGTAGGTGCTCAGTAAATATCGGTGGCAGGTGCAGCTTTCCTGCCTTCTGCTTCCTCCTTCCTTGTGTTAAGCTGGAGAAGAGGATTTAGGGAAGCAAAAACAGTGGCCTTTCCCCAGCTTCCCTGAACCTAGAAGGGTGGGTTTAAATCCACTTAAGAAATGGGAGGAGTCTAATTCTCCATTCCCAGTTCCCAAAGCCCAGACAACTCTGTAATAGGAGCCTCAGCTGACCACTTGGGTCCCCTTCTCTTAAGACCCTGGGGAGAGGACAAGTTGATCAACCTCAGTTCTGTTGTTGGACTTCCAGCCCAACCGCCCCTCCACCACTCACACAAAACTCAAAACACGAAAACATGTTTTCTCTGTTTGCTGCTTACTTTTAAAATGTGATTTTCTGAGACAACACTCAGGCAAGATGGATTTAGGGCTGACACTCACGTAGGTGGCATACATTCTGTGGTGGCTGGGAGCCCTCCACGTCTGACCTGGGTTCAAGTCCTGATCCAGGATGTCCTCACTGTGTGGTCCTAAGCTAACCTTCACTCTCTCTGGGCCTGCTTCCTTATCTATAAAATTGGGAGAATCGAACCTGCCTACTAGAGCTGTGACGTAGCAGATATACAGCACTTAGCATATTGCTTGGCCCTAAGTAGTTCTTTTGATTCCAAATGTTTACATATGCCTTTTCATAAGGAGCTCCTAAAGGCAAAAAGTTCAGGCTGTCATTCACAGCGTGACCTTGGACAAGTCCCTTTTTCTCTCTCACGCTAAGTTCTCCCATCTGTAAATCGTGAGGTGAGAGGTTGGCTTGGGCATCGAAAGGGATAGATTTGGGCTCAGCACAAAGGAAGGATTTCTAACAAACACCAGGCTGCATGTGAGGTAGTGAGCTCCCCATCGCTTCTAGTGCATTGTGTAGAACACCCGAATAGAAAGGAACCTTGAACCTCTAAGCCCCTTACTTTCCACGTGTGGCCATCAGGGTAGCTACGCAGAGACCAGAACTATCCCAGAGCTTAAATCTCCTGCCTGCATCCTCATACCGTCTGCCTGGACGTCGAGCATGGATCACTTGGCCAGGCACCCTAGCTAATGGGGACGCTGCCTGGGTTCAGCTACAGACGGGCCCGCCCTAACTCGCTGTGTGACATTGGCCAAGTGTAGCACTTGCGGGCAGTACTCCGTCCGCGTCTCCTTGATGCGCCAAAGGCTGCCCAGATATGAACTCTTAGCCTGGTGACTTATTTCCTGGAGCAGTTGAAGTGCTAGAGAATTGATGCCTCCGGAGGCAGCCCTGGACCAGACAGCAGCCGGTGGACAAACGCCCCAGCCCCCTACCTCTGCAGGGATACCTTCAGGCCTGCGCCGTGCAAGGCCATCCAAGGCTCCGGGCGGGGTGAAGGTCAGCTGCCCAGGCTAGCCCTGTTGGGTAACACGCCCTTTAACGCCTCCTGACCTTGCTTGACTCCCAAGCAAGGTGTCCTGGAATCACCCCCTAAAGCAGCTACCTGCACTTGAATCCCTCTCTCCGGGGGAGGAGGGGAGGGGGCCCAAATAGGAGAAGGTTATTTAACCTTCTTCTGGACGGCAAGATTCAATGAATGAACAGAGATAAAGGGCTCACAACCAGGTCTGGCAGTGTGTCTGTTTAATAAGTGTGGGGGAGGAAGGGGGAGGAGATAAACAGCCTTTATTTATATAAAACTCCACACCCTCTCGTTCCACCCTCCTCAGCATAGACAAATACCAGGTGATAAAACAATCTTTGAGACGCAAACAAACATTACTCAACCTGAGGGGTAGGTCAATGTGCAGGCTAAGTGTGCCCGGCATGGACCGCCCAGAACGCCCAGCTCAGCCGGGTCACTGGACGGGAACCACTCTCTGCATCCCGCCTCTCCATGGCTGCGGGCAAGCATCCACGGGGGCGCAGAGTGGCCCCAAGGTAGCTGGCTGTGTTTATTCTGGGGATCCCGTGCTTCACAGGAGCCCCCAGTCTTAGGGTGTGAGGAAGCTGCCAGCAACTCGTCATGGCTTGGTGATCACAATCTTCTGTGTACTTTTGGGTTTGATACCAGCACATGACAAAGCTGCCCCGCCACGGCCCAGGTCTGCCCCCAGTGTCAACCTAAGGAAGGTCTGTTGAATGGATGGGCACCTCTGGGCAAATTACCACCCTTCCTGGACTTCAATTTCCCAAGGCATGCACCTGTTGGCTTGCTTGGTTTCTAGGCTCAGCACCCAATCCATGGGACAGCAGGAGCACATCCCAGAACTGGGCAAGACACAAGTCACCCGGCGATTAGATGGACAAAGCACGCCTGGGGGCCATGACAGGGACAGCACACTGGACAAGCTGTGGGCCGATGATGTGGCCAAGCTGAGGTGCCCAAGGGGCTCCTCATCCCTGAAGGTGCCTCTGCCCCAGGCCATCTACTCCCATGGGAGGTGACAGTCCCGGGCCAAGGCAGGGAGATGCAGGGGGAGGTCCAGTCTCTGCACCCCCGTGTCAGACCGCCTCACAACTTCATGCCAGGGTTTTCCAAGTCTTTTGTAAATCTGGAAGCCTGGCCCCCTTCCAGGGGGAGGCGTGTCACAGGCATGGCTAAGGCCCAGCCCTCACCTGCAGACATCAGCAACCAGAGGATGCATCTAAGAAGTGCTCATGCATGTGGGCTCTGTGGAAAGCACGGCCAGCTTTTTGGGGGTCTGGCTTGAGCTCTGAGCACTGCTGGAGGCAGGCTGGGAGAAGGGAGAGGATTTGCCCTCCTTCGAGATCCCCAAGGGTACCAGGGAGGCCGGAGAGAGGCTGGCCTCCAGCAGAACCCCACCTGGCAGGACGTTCGGGGCCCTCAGGGGGCTCAGCAGGAGTGAGGACCTGTCTCCACAGCAGCAGCCACAGCAGGGGCTGGGCACTATGTGGGCCTTGCCACGCTCCTCCTGGTCGTGCCACTGCTTCAGGTGGCCACACAAGTGGCAGGTGAGGGCTGAGTAGACGATGCTACTGGCCAGGTCGTCCCTGAGGGGGTCTGTGGCCTGCTCTGGGGCCAGCAGGGTCTTGCGGCTGTCCTCCTCCTTCCCTGCCGGCTCCACACCCAGGTGCTCTGGGGAGCTGCCTGTGCCGAGCGAGTCCTGAGGGCTGCCAGGTGGCTCCGTGTCCAGTCCGAAGGTGAACAGGGGGACAGGGACTGGGGTGGGGGCCCCAGGGCAGCCAGGAGTGAGGCTCTGGAAGGGCTTGTAGCCCCCCTCCCCACTGCCGGCCTCACCCCCAGATGTCCCCGGGCAAGTGGCACCGCCAGGGAGTAGACTGCAGAAGGCCTTGTACCCCGCTTCCCCAGAAGGGCCGAAGCCCGGCCCCCCGGCGTCGGGGGCGCTGCCCTGCTTCACGGCGCACGTGAACTCCCGGTAACCGCTGCCGGGGCCCGGGCCAGGGGCCGGGGCTGCCCGGTGCTGGAGGACACTCTGGCGCAGGATCTGCTCCCAGCTTTCTGGCTCAGGCTGGAGGGTGGCAGGTGGCTCCGGGGGCTGGGGGGCAGAGGGGATGCCGGGGTCCGCTTCCCCGGGACGATCGGCCAGCTCTGGGTCGGAGTCACCGTCCCCGGGATCAGAGGACTGGCCCAGAAAGCTCCCGAAGCTGCGGTACGCGGGGTTGTCTGTGACGACAGGGGGCAGCTCTGGGAAAGCGGAGCTGCCTGCGCTCTGGGTCGGGGAGGCCTGAAGAGCGGACTCGGGGCAGCGAGGCTGCTCCGGGCCCTCGGGCAACGCCGCCCGGGGCCCGGCCCTTGGGAACTGAGCCCAGGGCATCTGAGCGCCCACACTCCCTGAAGGGGCCGGAAGGCATGACTCCTCCAGGCCCTGAGGGCAAAAGCCCCCATTCTCACCCCCGAGAAGGTCCAGGAAGAGGCTTTCTGTCAGCCGGGCCACGATGCCCTCTCTGCCCTCCTGGAAGCTGCCCCCGCTGCCCTCCAGCGATGGGCAGAGGCTTCTTTTATCTTCCTCCACCTCCTCCTCCTCTTCATTGTCCACCGGGGCCTCAGAGAGCTCCACACATTGCACCACGCTGATGCTCTCTGGCCAGAGGATCGTCTTGCTGACCTCCACAGGGCACCACGCTGATTTTCCAGGACCTTGGAGAGGCCCATTTTTGGCAGTCTTGGAGGACTCCTCCTCCCTGCCCAGGCCATGCTCCAGTAGACAGGGCAGGAGCTTGGTAAGACAAGTCTTCCAGTGTCTGCAGAAGCAGAGAGAAGTTCGGTCAGGATTCAGTGTCTGCGCTTGAAAAATTCCTATTCATCCCTCAAAGCTGGGCTTGAGGTCAGCATGGACTGATGTCTATCTACTGCAGACTTTATAATCAATAATCTTGACTCTTGACTTTATAATCATTAATCTTGACTCTTGACTTTATAATCAATAATCTATCAGCCTATCTTCACTACTACACTGGGAAGTGCTTGAGGGCAGAGCCTGTGTTTTATTCTGGGATTTCTGGAGGCCGCACATAACCTGCCACCCAATACAAACCCAGTCTATTGAATAAAGAAAAGTCTCTGTCGGGGATGATAATATTTAAAATAGTTTTCAATTTAGAATATTTATCAATACGACAGCAGAAGTAATGACTGCGGCGGTGGAGTACTAGGCTGAGGCAGTGTCCTGGAGCCCCCTGCTGGGCCAGCTATCAACCCTTGATAAGTATTTTAAATATCATCCCCGACGCAGGAGCTAGAGGTGATGGAGGTGCTAACAGGCCAGGCGATGATCAGATACTCAAGGATTCAAGATGGCAGCTCTTGGCCAACCAATCTGTAATTATGCCAACACTTGAACCCCTGGCATAGTTGCCCAGGTTGTAGTCTCTATCAGCTTTGCTCAGGACAGACAATGCACTTCCAACCCTAATCCTCCTTCCCCCGCCGTGAAACTCAGGAGGCTCAGCCATCATGCCCAACCTACCCAGCCCACTGTTCCTCCTGCCACCCCTCAAAGCTCAATGTCACAGAACAAGTGCTGAATGCTAAGGAGGAAAAGGCAGACGTGGAGGTGGGGTGTGATCCCACTCTTAGGATGGGCCCACTGCCCCAATTCCAACCCCTTCCAAATCCATGTAGGCAGTGACCTAGGTTCATATACATACGGGCACTTGGCTGGTTCCTGGCCTCGGGACCGCTTCCCCCAGAGCGACACCTAAAATACAGAGACAGCCAATGAAACAGGGTGGAGAGGCCTTGCAGCCCAGCCTGGGACAGAGCAATGTTCAGCGAGGGTTTGCTACAGAAAGATGGTAAGGCTTCACATCACACCGGGTGGAGGTCTGACTTGGTCACTTCAGCTCTCTGGGCCTTGGCATCCTGGGACTCAATGAGACTGCCCTAGTACTAAGTTCCTGGGCCTGAAGGTAAAAATGGCCACAGTACTCTGAAGTCCCTCCTATCCCTTGAATCTGGCCTCCCTGTGTGACCCCCTTTGACCAAGAGAATGCTATGGAAGTGACAGTGGGCCAGCCCGTTCAAGGATGACAGACACAGCTTAGTCACCTCCATGCTCCAGGTGAGAGTCAGCCGGCTTCTGGATCTGTGAGTGAGGCCACTGGGAAGGGGCCCAGCCCAGATCCCTCTACCCTACACCTTTGCATGGAGCCCAAACTTCCCCCCTGCAGAAGCAAGTGCTCAATCAGTGGTGGTTGTTTGGACTCTCTAAATTGTGGGCTGTTTTGTTACACAGCAAAGCTAACTGATAGAGATAGCATTTACTGTGCTCAGGACCCTGTAATCTATATTTTATATGTAACCATCTAGATGAATTCCAACATCAGGTAGGTAAGCACTACTACAACCCACATGAGGAAACTGAGACTCAGAGAAGCTAAGCAACATGCCCAAGTCCACACTGTAAGTAAGTGGCAGAGCTGGGGTTCAAAGCCAGCACCTATGGACTCCAGAGCCACTCCAGAGACCTGAGAATACAGAGGCCAGTATCCTCCCCTCCCCGCACCCCCCTCCCGCTCACCCGAGAATCCTGCTATGACCCAGGGAAATCCCACATGGCCATCATGTTGGAGAAACTGACCCACCCCTAGTTGAGGGGGCCACCTGGCTGGTCTCAAGGTATTCCCACTCCCTTACCAGCGAATGCTTTAGGAACGGGCATGTGTTACGATTCAGACCAGTGAGAACTGAGGAGAGACCTGTGGTGCACTGAGGGCAGTTTTCTGCTCATAAGGGGAAGACACAGGAAGCCCATGCCCCTCGCCCTCACCTTTTGACTTCCTGCCCTGGTACAGGCATCTCTCCAGGAGATGATGTGGAGGTGACCCATGAGGTGACCTCCTCCCAAGGGAGGTAAGAAACCAAGCGACCAACTCAGAGGAGCCCATCCCAGCTGAAAGAGTAGCCACGGGAGCCAAGGGGCGGGAAGCAAAGGCCTTTGGGCCCCTAATGACCACACAAAGCTGCTGAAACCCTGGAACCTTCCTGACTTCACATGTGCAGTTTCAAAAGCCAACGGAGATCCTTAACATCCGAGCTGCTTTGAGATCTATCTCATGAAGCACGTAGTCCAGAGCATCCTCACCAGCCCACACTCTTACCTGTGAGTCCTGGATGACTATGGCCACGAGGGGGCTGTGGGCTGGGTTGGGAATCTGATCCCACCATCCTTTCTTAATCCTGAAAAAGAAAAGGAAGAGGCATTGGACACCGTGGCCAGGTTGATGTTCCTTCTGTGACGGGGTCAGAGACCACACTGAATGGTTCTTAGACGTCTTGCCCTAACCTCATTCTACAGAGGAAGAGACCGAGGCCCAGAAGGCACAGGACAGCTGGGCTGTGGGCAGAACAGCCAAGTTTGTGCTCCAGCATCCTGCTACCCAGGATGGGGTTCCTGACATGGCCACCTCTGTCCTTGGTGGGAACAAGTCCTAGGGAATGAGGGCAAGCCCAAGTGGCAGAGAGAGAATTGTGGGTTTCCCCATGTCTCGGAGGATACCCAGAGTAAAACAGTCCCTCTCTCCACCCGGGTCTGTCTGGAGCCCCAGAATGTCAGCGCTGGGACGGGGGGTTCTCAGATGACCTCTGACTGGCCTCCACCCACTCCACTGGGTCAGGCGTCAGGAATAGAACAGTGAACAAGACAGACAAAAGTCCCTGCCCTTGCAGAACTGACCTTCTAGAAGAAACAAACACCAGCCAGAGCCACTTAAGTGTCACGAATAAAAGAAAGACGGGGCATAGAGAAGAATGGAGAGTGTGACCCCAGAAAGTCTCTCTGAGGAGGTGACTTCTGAGCAGCAACTGAAGGTGGAGCAGGAGCCACGGAGACGCCTGGGGAGAGGGAGGGACAGGCGAGGGGGCAAATGGAGGCTCAGAGAAGGGGAGGCCAGCCCGGGGTCCCGCAGAGCCATCATGACAAGACACGAAGAGGAGAGCCCGCGTGGCCACCAAAGTGCAGGACACCGTGCCTCAGTCAACGCCCAGCCAGGGTGCGTCCAGCCTCGCTAGACCCATTTCAGAGATGGGAGGACTGAGGCTGAGACACAGCCCGATTCTAAGCGCCTGAGCTCGTTGGAAACAAGGCTCCTTCTAGCCCCCTGCCCACTGGGATCCAGGACTCTCTCGGGACTCTTGGGCTCCTGAAATATGCTCCTTCAACCTGCAAAGGAGGGACCTGAGATGGACAGAGGGTCAGCCTCTCATCGGCCACAAAGTTACTGAGCTCCAAGGCCAGGATCTGAACCCAGATTTCCAGACTCCGTCAGGGCTGCTGTCTAGAATTCCTGTCTACTGGCACGTGCCTCGAGTGTGTGGACCACACCTGGGTCCCCAGGGTGACCCATCTCCCTTCTGGCCCAGCTCACTCTCCCCCGTCAGGCCTCTCAGCTCAGACGGGCCTGCCTGGCCTCCCCTCCCCAATGCAGCACCCTGAACATTTCCTCCCTTCGCCCTAGGAGGTTCCCTTCAGCGCATGGATCCCTGTGGAAACCAGCTGTGGTTACTGGCTGACCTGGCGTCTTCCCTCTCCCCCCAAGGAGCACAGGGTCCTCGTCAGCCTTGCTCTCAGCCGTCGCCTCAGTGCCCTGCGCATAGTAGCTGCGCGATAAATACTTCTTGTTGCACGCAGGGACGGAAAGCTGGCAGGTCAGAGGGAGACTCCCCGCCACTGCACGCCCCGGGGCGGCCGGCTCGGTGGCATCCTGTGGCGAAGCCCAGGACTCACTTGATGATACTGAAGTAGCAGGACAGGCAGATGGCCAGGATGACGAGGCAGGAGATGCTGACGCCAAGTGGCAGGTGCTGCTCCCAGGGCTCGTAGTCTGGAATGGGAGGGAAGCCGTGAGCCTGCAGCGCGCCGGGTACCACCTGCCCTCTGCTTCCCGGAGCCGGAGACCGAGGCCTTGAGGAAGGGTCGTCCGAGACCCTGCGTGAGCTGGCTGCCACCGAGCCCTCCCGCCTCATCCCCTCCTACTGAGAGCCCTTGTCACACGGCCTCCTCGCGGTCCCCTGCTCCTCCAAAGCTCGGTGCCACCCTGGGATCTTGAACCTGGTGCTCTCTTTCCTGACGCCCAGAGGTCAAGAGTGGTGACTCTGGAGCTGGACTCCCTGAGTTTGGGGCCTGACCATGTCATATCCTTGCTGGCGACCCAGCTTCTCTGCACCTCGACTTCCTCGTCTGTACCCGGGGGTTAATGTACCCCCATGTTATAGGGTTGTTGTGGGGATTACACGACGTAACACACGGAGCACTCAGAATGGTGTCTGCACATCCAGAAGCTTATGCTGTTGCCGACCGTGCACACCTGGCTCCTTCTCATTCACTTCACTGTCACCTGCTCCAGAAAGTTCCCTCGTGCCCTCTCTCCTGCTGCCACCCTCCTAACCCTCCATGCCTCACTCTGCTTCTTCTCTCCAGACTGGCTGTCAACTGGATGGAGATCTATCAGATTTATTTTTCTGTCTGCTTGTTTCTTTTCTGTATCCCCCGGAGAATGTCAATCCCAGAAGATCAGGGGCTTTTGTCTGTTTTGTTCATGGCTGATACCCCAGGGTCTAGCCCTGAGCCAGGCAGGCAGTCGGGACTCAATACATATATGTGGAAATAATGAAGTGTCTAGCCCCTTGTGTATGTTCCACACAAGCCATTCTCTCCCTTTCTCTTCCCTTCCCCGGGTCAATGGTAGAATCAAATCAATGTGGCAAAACTCTGCCCAGCGCTTACTGTGTCCCTGGTGCTCTGTGGGGCACCAGAGGTCTAGACTCAGAGTAGATCCCACCTATGGAGCTTGCAGCCCACAGTGTAAGACAGATGGGTCAAGAGACATCCACAAGACAAATGAGCAACACCCAGAGGGACATGGTGGGGCAGGGTTTGGTTGCGGCACCCACCAACGGCCACTGTGCCCCGCCCTTTGAAGACCCCTTCTCTCAGTAATGTTGACAACAGCTCTTACTCCTCTTCCATGGTATAGATGATGCCTGAGGCAGTCCCTTCCCCTACAGCTACCTCCCCCTTCCTTACCAGGGAGCAGTGTGCCCACCTGAGGTTTGGGCCAATCATGATTATCCTCTTCTTTTTTTCTTTTTTAAAAGATTTTATCCGTTTACTCATGATAGACAGAGAATGAGAGGCAGGGACACAGGGAGAGGGAGAAGCAAGCTCCCTGCGGGCATCCTGATGCAGGACTCAATTCCAGGACCCTAGGATCACGACCTAAGCTGAAGGCAGACACTCAACCACTGAGCCACCCAGATGCCCCTCCTCTTCTCCTTTCCAGAATACATCTGAGTTTCCAGCTGGGAGAGGCTCTATGACAGTCCCAGCCAATGGGATTGCAAGGGGAAGTCTGCTAGGGAAGCTTCTGGTAAGATTTTTGCTTCCTGATAAAAGAAAGAAATGCACAAGGTGCACTTGCTTGTGGCAGCCTTTCATTTCTGAAAGGCATAAGGGTGCCTCCAGCAGTCAACTTGGGGCATTGGGGTAACAAGTCAAAGGATAAAGTGCTACCATGGTTAGGAGGGCAGAGGAAAGAAGACAAGTCTCTGGGGTGACATTGCTGAGCTGCTGCATAAACTAGGGAAGGTCCCCTTGTAAGACTTCATTTTATATAACATAATTCAATGTTTCTAGTGCAAAAAACCAGGAGTAAGACTGTCGCAAAGAGCAGCTGGGGGATGTAGCTATAGAGTGAGGGACTATATGTCCTAGAATCCCTTGCAGCTATGTGTGCCACTGGGCACCAACAGAAACCAACAAAATAGCATTTACGTTCACCTACTTTGAAATTACAGAATCTATGAGAAGCACCATGAGATCTTGTTTTTACAGTGTTAATAAAGAAGCCCATATTCCTAGATAACAAATATGTTTTGAAATACTTTTATAACCTCATCTCAATAAAATTAGTTTCCCTCATCATCCTATGTATTTTATTTTTTACATTTAAAAATGGTATTCTGGGGTTCACAGCCAAAGGGGTCCATGATATGAAAAGGTTAGGAATCTTTGTCCCTAAGGGAATGATGGAACCACAAGGAGGAGGCATCCTGCAAAACCAAATCCCCTCCCCCATCCCTGCAAAACCAGCTAAGTTCACGCTGGACGGTTACATGACCAAGAAATACATTCCTATAGCGAAGAGTCACAGAACTTGCGGGCTCATTTACCAGCCTACCTACCCTGACCAGTACATCAGGTCAGTCAGTAATCCCATTAACCCACAGTTAGAGTCACTCTCTGCTATGGGAATGCAAAACACGGATGCTCAGCCAGAGGAGGTGTCTGGCCACAGGATAAAAGTGAGGAGCCCGTGTCCTACCGACTCACAGCCCCTGTGGATACTCACAGTTAAGCCACGTGGTGCTGGGGCTCCAATCACTCCAGGTGCTGTTGTAGGTCTGAGCCCAGGCCCTCACACGTGCGCTGTAGGAAGCTCCAGACTTGAGGGTGCTGGCTGCCAAGCGGAGGGTGGGCCCCATGTAGGTCACATTATAGACTTTAAACTGGGAGAGGAAAGGGACACATTACTGCACCAGACTGGGGGAAAGGAAGTACCAGCTGCCACCAGGGCTGCTGTCTCCTCCGCTGGCCCCACAGTGTTTAAGAGCCACCAGCCTGGACATTTGGCCATTCCTCCAATTCGGGGCTTTGTTTGCCACCTCTCCAACTGCGACCAGAGTCAAGCAAGATGAGTCAGGGAACTGGCCCTCAGCCTGCACCCCCTCCACCAGCTCCCCAATTACCTTTGCAACATTACTGGGACAAGCTGAGTTTCAGTGTTCTTATCTGTAAAATGAGGGTAAGAGTCCCTACTGCCATCTTCTAGCTGGTGACCCTAGGCAAGTGATGTAACCTCTCTAGACCTCAATATCCTTCTTCAGCTAAATGCTGATAATAAAAGCCTGTACCTCACCTCCTAGGGTTGTTATGAGGGTTAATACAGGTAAGCATGGAGGACAGGGCCCAGCATGCAGGAAGCATGACAGTGACCCTTCTACAGCACAGAAAGGTCACCAAGTTCCTCTCTCTCCTCCATGGGCTGTCTGGAGCCTTCATACTCAAACCTGAGTTCTAGTCTAGAATCTCAGCCCTGCTCCAACTGCTGGAAAGGGACTTCTAAGACCTGTTATCCAGTGAAAAGGGTAAATGAAAATTAGTCTGTGTTGTTTGCCACCTTTTATGCTAAAAAAAAAAAAAAAAAAAAAAGACAGACTCTAGGATGGCACGTGATCCCACCTTGCATCATGCCCCTGTGTAAACCCCTCTTCTTGAGTGTGGGTAGGGCTTGTGACCTGTTCCTATAAATAGAATGAAGCAAAAGTGATGGGTAGGTAGGGACCACATGAATGGGGTTTTATCAGATAAGGCTGTAATTCCCACTGGCTAGAGGATGCTCTATCCTCTGCTGGTTTTGAGAAGTCAATAGGGAAGGAACTGAGGGCAGCCTCCCACCCACGGCCAACGAGAAGCTGTGGCCCACAGTCCAGCAGCCCATAAGAAGCTAAGCTAAGGCCCCAGGTAAGCCACATTCAGACTCCTGGTCCCTAGAAATGGTAGCTCAATAAAATGCATGTTGTTTAAAGCAGCTACATTTGTGGTGATTGTGTTATGTAGTGAGAGAAAAGTGACACAGCAAGGAATGAACACACATGTTTCCATGTACATGCATACACTCTCTGGGGAGGAGAGGACACACATGCCTCCCAGACCTCTGCTGGCACTAGCCTGGCCTTCCTTCCCCTCCTGGAAGGAGATGGGAGCAGGAGTCAGCCTCTGGGATAAAGAACTGGAGGTTGGGGTCACAACAGAAACATATTTACCATCCCAAGTCCTTTCATACCATTTGAATTTTTTACTACATGTAAGTATTACTCGTATTAAAAAGAAAACTTTAAAATATGAAATAAAATCTGTGTTCAAGATCAATTCTGATGTCACGGGAGCAACCTGAATCCTACGCCCAGGGCTCTTCTCCCAGCAAGGTCCGTCCCTCTGCAGCTCTGCTTCTGCTCGAAGGCTGGATGTGCATTTAGAGAAATGGTCTGGTGTGAAGTGAGCCGAGGGGAGGTTTTGCACAAAACCCCAACAGGTTGCTGTAGAGACTGGAAGGCAGCTGGAGCTTCCCAGGGATGCTGAGGTTGGGAAGGGGGTTGTGGGAGGAAATGAAGGCAGGAAAACGAGGCACTTACTCACAGCCTTCTTTTCTTTCTAAATATGAGTAATCAGGATACAACAGCTGGACCTAGTTCTCCAAAGGAATCATACACCCTGAAGAGAAGAAGTGGATTGGGAAATGTTTTGCTAAGAAACATAAGAGAAATCAGAGCTTCCAAGGAACTACTTGTGGCTTGTTTTTCAACAAAGAGGCCAGGTATTTGGGAGGACACCTCCGAGGGAAAGATCCAAGGCAGGAGAAACAACACAGACTCTGGAGTTCAAATCCTGGCTTCCAACCCCAGCTCTGCCAATTCCAGCAACCCTGGGCGAGTCAGTCTATCTCTTCATGCCTCAGTTTCCTTGTCACTAAAACGGAGAGGCCAGCACCCTTCTGTGTGCAGGGCTTTCACAACCGACGGTGATACATTCTGAGCCCAGCACATTTCAGGCATGCAAAAAATGGTAACCATTAGGATCAATCATTAGGCTGTGGCATTCATGACGCTGCACACACCACCACATCCCCATAATCCTCAGATGCCACGAATCTTCGTATCTCCAAGTCTCCGCTTATGTGGTTCCACGCAGCCTACCCTTCCTTCCCTATCTAGAAAACTCTTATACACCCTTCAATGCTCAGGCCAAAAAGAAATCATCCAGAGCCATGATTATCGCCATCCTCCAAACCCCACAGCAAACGTCCAAGATGTCTTCTCAGAACTGATCGCATCCACTGAACGCACAGCATGGGGAATACGGCTACTAATATCCTATTCACTCTGTATGGTGACTTATTGCGGTGATCATTTTGAAATGTGTACAAATGTCAAATCTCTCTGTTGTACACCTAACACTAATATTGTATGTTAATTATACTTAAATTAAAAAAAAATTGGTCCCATCCAGTCTTGAGCCACAGCTGGTGTCTGCAATATGGTAGCAAACAGAGCTGGACACGCACCCAGCATCTAGGAGACTGGGGTCAGGTACCCAAAGCTCAGAGCAGGTAAGCTTCTGTCTCCAGCTCCAGGGTTAATCCTCATTGGTCAAGGCCAATCACGGCCACGCCATTCCCTAGCCTGTGATTGGTCAGGAAGGAGCATGTGACCAGCTCCAGCCAATGACCAATGAGGGAAATTCTATAGGTTGGGTCGGTTGCTGGGGGAAGCAGAGATGGGTGAGGGGTGTCTCAGTAGCCTCTACCCCACCAACAAGAGGAGCTGCACCCAGAATTCTGAGGCCCTGGGCATGTACGTGACAACTGAGCCATAGCTTGGGCACGCTGATTAATTCCACCTGCTGGCTGGAGTCCGCGGCCAGGTTCTGCACCTGTGTCTCAGCCAGCCCTATCCCTGTTTCTCCTTCCCCAGACTTTCCTCTGGGGACCCATCTCTCCCTCATTCTCCACCCATGTGGCTTGGGTGGAGCTGACCCCACCTGCAGCTCCAGAGGTGGCCATGTGACTCACCTCTAGCCAATCAGAGCACAACACCAGCACCCTCTTTCCTGCCCACAGCCTGGGCCAGGTTCAGAGATTTGCATGTCATCCAAGCAAGGCAACTGAGGATCGGCCCCCCAAAATTTACTGGAACTCCCGGAAAAGAAAGACTTTTCCCACTGTGGCTTTAGCATGTCACTAGCATGTAGCATGGAGTTTCTGGTGCCACTACCTGAGGGAAGAGTGTCTAAAAATGAAGCCAGTACAGAATAAAGCAGAGCCAAGGGAGGGATAGACTCCTGGACCTAAAGCCAGCCACAATAAGCAAATAAGGAAGCTTTCTTTGCACTCTACAGGTCACACCCCGCTCTCCCCTCCAGCCTCTGCTCTTTATAAGCCTTGCACTTCCCGGAACATGGGAAGGGGATTTAGCTACAAAATGGAGCCTGCCTCTCTCTTTGGCAACTGCGCAGCCCCTCCCAATGCTTTCTAAGCCTCGGCTGCGAGAACCTGGCTGCTCCATTCCCACTCCCACCACACGCCGTGGCCCCGTGCCAGGGGGGAAACCACACCTGAGCATCTGAGAGGTGTCAATCAACACCCACCCACTCCCTGGCTGAGGTAGGAAGATAGCAGCTGATGTGGGGGTGTACGATGTGTGGAGCCTGCTCCTGGCAGCAGGAGCCAGGCCAGCCCGGGTCCCCAGATACAGGGCGTGCCTCGGAGGAGGCCCTGGGTGAGTCTGACATAGCGAGTTCTAGACCAAGGTGTGGGAGGGCAAGGCCTACGGGGCTTTCCAAGGCCTAGTGGCACTCGGGAGAAAAGGAGAACAATGTTTCAGACACACAATGAGTGCCTGGCAGGGGAACCTGTCTGGGTCACGCACGTGGCACTCTCAGTAGCCAGTGGAGTGGGTACTCTCGTTATCCCCATATTACAGATGAGACAACTGAGGTACAAGGGGGTTACATGACACGGCCAGGGTCACACAGCTGACAGGTGGAAGCAGGTATGAGAACACAGCTCTGTGGGATGCCGGGGCCCTGGGGGTTCAGATGCTGTCCCTCCCCTGGGAATGTGTGAGGGAGAAACGGAGGTGGCAGGAAATAAACTCCACCCCCACCCCAAAGTAAAACAGAAGGGAGCCAAGCCAGCCACTGTGGACAGCCAGCCCCTGCTAGCATTTACTGGAGAGTCTACTGTCCATCAGTTCTCCCTTTCTAAAACCTGCCAATGCCCCGCACTCCTCACTGTGATGGAAAAGTCTCCTCCTGCCTGAGTCCCAGGAGTTGGTAGAGAAACCACCCAGTGCACACACTCACGTCCTCGGGGTCGTTGTCATTCGAAACGTTGACCATGTAGGTGAGCTCAGAGTGCAGGTGATTCTCAGTAGGGTACGGGTTTGTCCACATCAGCAGCCACGTGTGGGAGATGTTGGGGTGAACTGTGAGGTTGCCGGGGGTCCTGGGCTTCACTGTGGAGAAGTGGTGCCCAGTGAGGTGCTTGTCCGGGTGTGGAGAGGGACAGCCCACGGGACACAGGTCACTTAATAGGTTGACTGTGGGGATGCCTGGGTGGCTCAGTCAGTGAACCCCCCAACTCTCAATTTCAGCTCAGGTCAGGATCTCAGGGTCAGAGTATGCGGCTCCATGCTCAGTGAGGAGTCTGCTTGCAATTCTCGACTACCCCCTTCTGTTCCTCTCCCCTGCTCTCTCTTTCTCAAGTAATTAAATAAATCTCTAGATTTTTAGTCAACCATGCTGCTGTAGCACATTTATGGGGTCCCATGTGGATTTAGTCTCAATAGAGAATGACCATGATAATACCGACTACAGTGTTGCTAAAATTCTACCTAGCAATCATGGTTATTAACCAGCTTTCTACAGTGAATGCAAAACATAAGCCAAAGGAACCCAAAATTTGCCTTTTTCACCTTTGTCCTTCACACTTTTGGCCACATCTATGTACTATGTTATTACCCTTTTTATTTTGATTCATATGTTTTCTTAAATGTAGTCTTCTTTTAAGCAATCCTGTCCAGAAGATCACAGGTATGTAATATGTATTAAAATCAATGCAGGGGATCCCTGGGTGGCTCAGCGGTTAAAAACCTGCCTTCAGCCCAGGGCGTGATCCTGGAGACCCGGGATCGAGTCCCACGTCAGGCTCCCCGCATGGAGCCTGCTTCTCCCTCTGCCTGTGTCTCTGCCTCTCTCTCTCTCTCTCTCTCTCTCTCTCATGAATAAATAAAATCTTTTTAAAAAAATAAAAAATAATAAAAAATTAAATCAATGAACACATGCAGAAATTATTTTAATTCATGGGTTCATTCACGGGTCCATTTAAACAACCCACTGACCATGGGCGGTACAAATGGGCCCTTCATGAGCTCCATGGATAGTCATGAGAATACTCCTCTGCAGCTTAGTAGCTGTGTGACCTTAGGCAGGTTACTTGCCTTCTCTGTATTATATTCAATTGCAAAATGGGGATAACTCTCTTCTGAGAAATGAGGCTCAGAGAGGTAACGTGACTTGCCCAAGGCCACAGAGCAATAAATGGTGTTTTAAACTCCTGTCACTACAGCGCAGCAGAATCATGGTGAGTTGGACTCTGGCTACCAGGATCACGTCAGCCTTCCATGGCCCAGACTGTCTGAAGGAGCGGCAGCTGACCAGGCGACAGAGGGTGGAAGGACAGGTCCCAGCTCCGTTTTTGATCTGGAGCAAGCATGCCTTCTGATAAGCATGCCTCATCTCAAGACTCCAGTCTGGGCACTTGAATTCAGGTGGTTGAACTATCAAACCTGAAGGGGACCTGATGTGCTAGGTAGCCCAGCCCCATTTCAGAGATGGGAGGACTGAGGCTCGGAAAGGAACAAAAATCTCATCATGTCTGGGACTATGCAGGAGATTGCTTGCAGCTCACTCCCCCAACTGGGGCCTGCCTCCCCTGCCCCAGAGCCGAGCTGGGGTTCGGGAACCACACCCCCACACCCCTGCCCCACTCACCATGCTTGCTGGGCTGGAAAGAGCCGCTCCATAGCAGCTGCTGCCCAGCCCACAGGTCCAGCTGATAGACATCCGCTTCCACCGCGTCATCTATCGGCATGCTGCACACGCACACTGAGTCTTCTCGGTTCTCAGGGACACACGTGTGGTTTCTGCAGACAAGGGTGGTGCGTCAGATTGCCACGTTCAGGCTGGCTGGGACCCCTGGGTGTCCCTGGAATATGCCTCAGGGAACGCATGCTCTTCCAGCTTCCCAACTGCCCTGCCTGCAGGACCAGATTTGGGCGCTGGGGTGTAGAGAGGACAACAGACCAGCACTGCTTTCCTTGCTGGCCACAGCCACTTGCCACACACCCCCCAGACTTTTACACGACCCTGGCCATGGTCTTGATCCCGGAACTTGGCTCACCTCTGAAAGCCAGTGAAAGGGAAGAAACAAAGGCACCAAAGAATTTGTAACAATGTGTGTGTGTGCGTCGCAGTGTACCTGCGGGTAGCATGGTTTATCCCAGCGCACAGTGGACTGTGGCACGCTCCCCCATGTCTCATGGGGTCAGTGAACCTTTTCTGCAATGGGACAGAGGGTAAATATTTGGGGCTTTGGGGGCCATACTGTTTGTGTCCCAACTACTCACCTCTGCTGCTGTAGCACAAAAGCAGCCACAGACAATACAGAAACGAGGGGGCATGGTCGTGTGCCAATAAAACTTCATTTACAAAAGTAGGTGGTGGGCCAGATGTGGGCCTCGGGCCAGAGTTTGCAGATCCCTGGTCTAGGCCAGTGTATCATGTTTCAAAGCACAGCTGGTCTAGCTTAATACATCGTGGAAGGCCTCTGTCACTGTACCTAGATTCTGGTGTGCCCCATGTGCCAGTGTGCCCTTGTAACTGCGTGCCCAATCACGTCCTGAGCACCACCTGGAAGCATTCTCCAGGTGCTCTGGACTATCCCAGTGACCCACCTGGAACAACATACCCAAGGTTCCATGGTCCCACCATCACATCACGGTGAATCTAGCACTAATGCACTATCCCCAATCGTCCAGGCACAGCTTCCCCCAAGTCCCAGCTCTACCCCAAACTTACTCAGACCCCATAAAGTCCAGCTGGTAGGACAGGCGGAGCTCGGCACTGCAGTTGGTGGGACGGTCCATCTTCCACTGACAGACAGAGGTGCTGATGTAGTCGGAGAAGCAGCTGGGCTCGTGCAGGACCTTCACACTCCCTGGGGAGACACAGGAGCGCTCTGAGCAGCCAGAGGCAGACAAGCAAGGGGTCACGCACCAGTGGGAGGAGTCAGAAACCAGCCCGGATGGGACTGAGGAGCCCATCACAAAGGAGACCACAGTACCAGGCGCTGTTGTGTGCCAGTCTTCATGGAGCTGGGGGCAGGATGGGGCTCTGGAGGTTCCCCACTGGCATGGGGCAGATTCCTGAAGCCACAGAACACCCCCAGACGGCAGGGTCTACCTTTACCTTATGGAAACTCCACTACTTGCCCTTGGCCAAATTAAGGGAAGTGTCTCATCTAAGGAATTTCCAGTCTGTTCTACCACCACAGGCATTGGCCCCAGAGCTGTGTGAGCAGGCAGAGGAGGGGCTGTTAGCCATTTGCCTGCTCCTCGATCCCATCTATCTTCCACCCCTCTCTGCACTCAGGAGGTTGACCCCCAAAGTCTTGCCACCCAGGTGCCCTCAACCTCTGGATGCCAGTTGGGTTTGGCCCAGCCAATATCAAGGGCAGGATGAAAGGTCGGGGTATTTCGTCCAGCCGGTCAGTGGCAGAGCTGTGTGTGAAGCTGCCAAGATGTGCAGTGGGTCTGCTCGTCATGTGAGAGCCCTCGCTCTGGCTCTCGACTGCCCAGCCCTGCACACGGGCAGGTGCCTTCCTGCTCTGGTGCCCAGCACCAGCGCCGCCGCAGCCGGCACCAGTTGGCATTTGTCTGCTGGATGAAGGACTGACCATATTAGGCAGTGACTCAGAATCCTAATAAACATCTCAAACTCTCCCCTCTTGTCCAAACTCACTTCTTCTGATACCCCCTCCCCCAAATACATGCCCCCTACTGTTCTGCGCTTTTTCTTTTTTCTTTTGTTCTGCGCTTTTTCTATCACTTTCTAACCTCTTTACGATTTATTTATAATTACAACCATTTGTCATTAGCTGTCCCCTCACACTAGAGTGTAACCTCCTTGGGGCCTGGAATCTTTGTTTGGTTCACTGATTATCCTAGGAGCTGCGCATCTAAATGGCCAATAAACACTTGCTGAATGAGTGACCGAATGAATGAATGAATGAATGGGAGGTGGTGACTTACCAGAGCTGGCCACCCACACCAGGACCAGGCAGCTCACGGGGAATGTGAGCCCAGAGCAAAGCCGCCCCATTGGGAGATCCTAGGACACCTGCTGAGAGAAAGTGAGCCAGGTTAGTGCCAACAATGAGCCCTCTGTATTCACCAGAGCTCTAGCTATATCTGTCTATTGATCAATCAATCTATGTATCTCTATAATCATGAAACATAACACAGATGCACAAAGCCCAGAATGAGAGCCACAGAATCCCTGTCCCGAGAGACACTTCTTGAAAAAAAAAAAAACCCCATGACCTGCTAAATTTAAGCAACTCCTTGGACTTTTGGAAGTTCATAATGCACTTTTGCATGTAAAGGCTCTGATGAGTCCAATTTATTTTTCTTCATTTAACCCAACACTTACCAATTAATTTCCCTACTCAATCTTCATTTGTGTGTGTGTGGGGGGGGGTGTTAAAACCTCAAATGAACCCCTAAACGATTTACAAGTCCTTGAAATATACTTTGGGGATGTTAATCTGTAGAGCCTTATAGAGCTCGTCAAATAAATAGTGGTGTATTCATGCAGTAAAAATGATGCTGTTGAGTGTGTTAGACTTACATCAAAGGCCCCAATTCTTCACACCCCTCCTGGATCTATGTAACCTGTCCATGCCCCCACCACCGCCACTACCACCACCACTCTGGGCAAGGCTTTTTCCCCTGTCCTTGGATTATGGGCTCAACCATGTGACCAGCTCTGGCCAGCAGAATATTAGCAAAAGGGATGCACTGCAGAAGCCTGCTTTTGCACAACCACCGCCTTGAGAACATGCCCGTGCTAGCCTGCTGGGGGGTGGTGACATGTAACAGTCCTGCAGGGCCATTCCGCATTAGGCCACAGGCAGCCACCTCCAAGTCATGTGCCTGAGTTCTGCAGCTCAACAGAGCTGTGTAGCTGACCCGAGGCTGACCACGGTTGCGAGCTCAGCCAGGCCCAGCTAGGCTGCCCCCCAACCCAACCTGAGCTAAATATATGTCTCTTGCTATATGTTCCTGGGGTTTTGTGCTTCACTGCCATTCCCCTCGGGTCATCACCCCACCACTCTGACTTCTAACCCCATAGGTGACCTCTGTGTTTTGTGTTACATGTAAATGGAATTGTGCACTGCCCCTACAATGTTAATGGCATTCCGTAATACATGGGGAATAAAAATCAGAAAGTACAGACACCCAAAAAGAAATCAGTTCAAATTCCCCAAAATCACAAGGCCTAGCAATAACCCCTGTACACATTCATATCAATTCTTTCAGGTTTATCTATACAAATAGGGAGATCAATACGAATTTTATTTACCGAAATAGCAGCACCCTCTGCCTATTAAAACCTAAATTTTAACACTTAATATACCATTAAATATCATTCCATACCACTGTAGATCCAAAGCATCACATTACTAATAACCCTCTGTGTCCACCATTGGATTTTTAGCCTTTATTTATTATTGTTATTGCTTTGTTATTGTACGCAGTGTCTCGTATGTGGCCATCCTTAGAGAACCATTGGCTCACATTTCTCTGTTCCTTGCCCTAAGCAATTTCCTTCTTTTTTTTTTAAGATCTATTTATTTATTTTGGGGGGTGGACAGAGGGAGAGGGAGAAAAGCAGACTTCCCACTGAGTGCAGAGCCCCACACCAGGCTCTATCTCACAACCTGCTCTGAGCTGAAATCAAGAGTCGACACTCAACCAACTGAGCCACCCAGGTGCCCCTTCTTTTTCTTTCTTTCTTTCTTTCTTTCTTTCTTCTTTCTTTCTTTCTTCTTTCTTTCTTTCTTTCTTTCTTTTTAAGGTATGTTATTGATCTTTTCTCATATTACAAAAGCCACATTTGATAGCTGTGGAAAATTTAGATAAGAGAGACACGCAAATAAGCAAAAAGAATGCCTATAATTCCATCACCTGGGAAAACACCACTGGTGACTTTTTTGCATCTGTTTGTAGTCTTTTCTGTGCAAATATAGTTTGACAGAATGGGCTGGTACAAGGTTCTTCTGTTTCAGAACATGTTTATTTCTATGCCACGAAATACCTCTCAACACCCCTACTGGTAATGGCTGTGTGTCAAGGTTTCCTGAAATTTATTTATTTTTTATTTTATTTTATTTTTTTGGTTTCCTGAAATTTAAACACTTGCTCTTGTCACTTAATCGTTGTGAGCACCGAGCAAACTGGTCTGTGCCTCGGTTTCCAACTCTGTAAAGCAGACCTAATAACGGCCCCCATCCGACTGGGGTCCTGGGACACACAGAGTCCTCAAACAGGGACTATGACACACTCACAGTCCAAGTAGTCACCGGTCACTTTTATTAAGGAAAATGCTCAGAACTGGAATCCCACTGGGTCAAGGAGTGTGTATGTCTCAACACCCTGCGCATAATGCCAAATGCCCTCTGAAAAGCAATGCACTGAGGTATGTTCCTGGCAATACTGAGAGCACCTGCTCTCTCCATCCCCGCGTGGGTCTCTATCTCGGCTTCCAGGCTTTCTTCTGCTGCTTGGTATCCCCGTGCTGCAAAGGCAGCCCCCTATCTTGCACAGCGTTGGCTTCCTTATCTGCAGCATGGAAATGATAGTGAGCTTGGTCTCTCAGGGGTACTGCAAAAAAGGAAGTCAGCTGCGGACCCCCAGCACTCTGCACAGCGTCTGGAGCACAGAAAGGGCTTTCTGCCCCTGTTGGAAGCTCTTGGGGTGACTTTGTTCCTCTTGCAAGACCTCCCCCAGGTGGGCCCCGCCCCCCTCTCCACCTGGCCCCAGCACCTGCGCATCTCCACTTCCTGCTGCCCTGAACACGCCAAACCCACTCCCACCTCCATACCTTTTTTGGTGCTGTCCTTCTCAATCTCTTTGTCTCTCATTTATTCATTTGCCCACAACAAGTAAATTACCCCATAATACTCTGGCATATCTTACAGAACACAAGGAGAATGTTCTCCTACACCGGAGAATGTTCATTGCCACAATGCAACCATCAAAATCAGAAAATCAACACAGAAGCCTTCCTGCCATCGGATCACAGCCCCCAGTTCCACCTCGCCAACTGCCTCCACAATGCTCTTTGTAAGTCCAGGACCTGGTCTAGGGTCATGCATTACACCTGATTGTCGTGCCATCCCCACATCCAGGTCTCAGCTGCTAGCACCGTTCCACGCTGAATGGAAGCAGGACTCCTTGAAGAAATGGCTGATCCCACGATCAGGGAAAGTACATGGCATCCTCGTGTCAGAAAGTAAGGACGTGCTCCGAGGACGGGGGGGGGGGGTCTTGTCCAAAAAGACACAGGAGCTAACTCTGCCCACTGGCTCAAAAGGGCACAGCTGGAGCATCACAATAAATACACAGTGACCAACTGTACCCCTTGGAGTTACAGGGGCCCAGGGGCCTGTCCTGCTTTAGGTCGATGAGTGGGGGAGGGGCAGTTCTATGTCACCATGGCAACCTCTAAGCATCTGCCCATAAAACTGGTATTAATGAATGAGTCAAAATGCCTAACTTTACAATGTTCGGGACACCTGGGTGGCTCAGTGGTTGAGCATCTGCCTTCAGCTCAGGGCGTGATCCTGGGGTCCCGGGATTGAGTCCCATGTCAGGCTCCCTGCATGGAGCCTGCTTCTCCCTCTGCCTGTGTCTCTGCCTCTCTCTGTGTCTCTCGTGAATAAACAAATAAAATCTTTTATAAAAACTTACAATGTCCTATGCCTCATATATAATACTTTATATACATATATATAATTGTATATAACTTTATGTACAGAAATCCAGCAGGCACCACCTTCACCAAGTGGGCAAAGTTAACATCACCAAGAATGGGACGAATCAAGGTCATGTGCCTTCTGAATCTATGCCCTGAGAACACAGCATTGCTTCTGTGGCGTTCCTGCTCTGTTCACTGCCGAGTTCACTGCCCAGCTCCTAGTACCTGCGGTAGTGCCTGGCACGGAGCAGCTGCTCAGTTAATGTCTGTGGAATAAAGTCATTTTGGACATGATGTGGGGCCTCTGATGGGCTCAGCACGGGGCTGGAAACTCTTCCCAAAGCCCCAACTGGCTTCCCTTGAAGAGTCACAGTGAAGAGCCAGGAAGGAGGGGAGGGAGTGTGGTGGTGAACTCACGACGCCAGTGCCCTCTACAAAGTCCTGGTAATTTTTCTTCTGATAAGCTCACACACGCCTGCAGCATCCTGCAGCAGAAACGGCAAAGGTGTCACTTTAGCCTTGACTTTGAATAAAGAGAAAGAGAGAGGACAAGGTCACACAGCAGAAGGGCTGTTATGATAAAGTCAAGCCATCCCATCAGGGGAGACTAAAACATCAGACCTGGGGCAGTCAGGGTGGCTATCTTTGATCTGTTGCAGAGGGCACATCCAAATATGTGCATATGTATGCTCACCACCGCGTGCACGCGCGCGCGCACACACATACACACACACACACACACACCAGCTGGCTTCATGGACAAGCAGGTGGGGCATTCAGGGGCAGTCATAGTCCACAACGTGCAGCAACAGAAGAGCCTCCCTGAATATCATAGGAACGGAGGAGTTAAAAAGAGTAATTACCAAGAGCTTGGGTCAAGCCTATAGCAAGAGAAAATGATTTCAAGTTCACACTCTCAATCATGGGATTCCTGACCCACTGGAGTTGGCAGGCAACCCCTGACTGTACTGCCAACCCAAACAGCGATGCTCTGCACAGATTCCCTCTCTGACAGGCTGCAGTCCAGGGTCTGTTTGCACTCCTCCACGGACGGACGCTCATCTCCAGGTCATGGCTGAACAGAACTGATGACTAGAAAGTTTCCTCAGGCCGAGCCAAAGATTTGTATAAACAAAATCCTGCCTGTCAAGTACTTACACTGTGCTTGGCAGTTAGCTAAGTGCATGAGGCACATTACCTTATTGAATGGGCCCGAGAACCCTGCAGGATGGGCTGCTATTCCCACCTTCCACCCGGGGGGCATCGAGGCCACAGAGGTCAAGTAACTTGCCCGTCATGTACCACAGCTGGCCAGAGGGGAGAGCTAGAGTCAGAACCCAGGACTGTTGGCTTCGGAGCCCAAAGAGCATTCCAAAGTACCAGTGCCTTCACCTTCTCCTAGAACTACAGAATGGATCCAAGTAGGTGAATGAAATAAGCCAGGAGGAGCTGGCCCTCCTGCTTGTTAACTTCAAACATCAGCTGCCCCAGCACAGGACCAGGAACTGCAGAAAAGACCTATGGCTTTTGCTGTCTACAAACTCCCCATAAGCCAGAGGTGAAGCAGCAGCTTAAAAAAAAAAAAAAAAAAAAAAAAAAAAAAAGCCAGTGAAAGTCATATTAACAGAGATACAAGAGCCAGGACAAGGGAGGTGACAGTGCCCAATCACACCTGTGTATCCCATTGGAAGAAACCCTGCTGATCTGAACGAAGCTTGTCTAGAGGATGATAACCAACACAGAGAGGGTCTGAAAATCCCAGAGGGCCTAGAAAAGCTTTACCAAAAGGCTCTGCCCCTCTAAACCCTACACGCTCATCATTCACTTAACGAACATAGGATATTCACCGCATGCCAAGTCTCTTCTAAATACTGCGCTTGTATTAACTCATTCAATACTCAAGAGAGCACTATGAAGTAAGTCCTATTACTTCCCCCATTTTCAGATGAGGCAACCAATGCACAGAACGGTTAAGTGATTTGCCTGACGTTGCCAAGCTGTAGCCGTTGTGAAATTTGAATGGGGGCAGTCTGGCTCCGGGGCCTCAGCTCTTAAACGCCATCTCTGTCTAGAAGCCACGGTCCTTAATGTTTTGGAGATCACTGAGCTGTCTGAAATCTGATGCAAGCTCCAAATCTTCCTTCTAGGAAGTGCACACATTACATTATGCATTCCAATTTAGGGGTTCATAGATCCCCCCACAGCTGAAGTAAGGACTCCACGTCAAAGGCTTCCTTTCTAGGCAAGGAGCAGTTTTTAAGGGTTTGAACAGTGACAAGATTTCCCAAGAACCCAGTCTGGGGCTCTCAGAATGATGGGGTGGGGCGGGGGGAAGTTAGTAGACATTGCAGACATGACTCACTTCATTTCTTCTCCACACTGCAGGCAAAGTCATTCTTACATCGGAACTGCTTGCTCACACCCTGCGTCGGCCTCTGGCTCCTGAAGGGTGTCTTCACCCAGGGGCACAGACAGATGCCTGGAGCTCACCAGAGGAGCATCTCCGACTCAGAATAAAATCCAAGCCTGAGAGTGAAAACAGCCAATCCACAAGGGCGCACTCTGCGTGATTCCATTTATGTAACATTCTTGAAATGGCAAAATTATAGAAATGGAGAACAGATTCATGGTTGGCGGGTAGGAAGGCAGGTCCGTGTGGCTATAAAAGGGCAACAGAGGGATCCTGGTATAGTGGTTGCTGCGCTGGAGACACAAACCTGAGCACGTGACAGAGCTGCACAGAACCAAATACGCACACGTGCCCACCCGCATGCACAAAGATGCGTGAAGGCGTACAAGTAAGACGGGTGCACGCTGAGCAAGCTCAGCGGGTAACATCAATACCCTGGCTGTGCTATTGTACGGCAGTTTTGCAAGACGGTACTCTTGGGGGAATCTGACTGTATATTATTTCTTAAGACTGCATGTGGAGGGTACAACGATCTTAAAAAGTGTAAGACAATGCAAAACTTGGGCAGCCGGGTGGCTCAGCGGTTTAGCGCTGCCTTCAGCCCAGGGCCTGATCCTGGAGACCCAGGATTGAGTCCCATGTCGGGCTCCCTGCATGGAGCCTGCTTCTCCCTCTACCTGTGTCTCTGCCTCTCTCTCTCTCTCTCTCTTCTCTCTCTCTCTCTCTCTCTCTGTCTCATGAATAAATAAATAAAATCTTAAAAAAAAAAAGAAAAATGCAAGCCCCCTGATGATCTGGCTGTTAACCTACTATTCCCTCCTACCTCCTCAAGCCATGTGTCCCACTGGCCTCTGAGCACCTTGACACGCTCAGAGACTTTACACCCAGGAGCCCCCCACTAATGACGGTTCCCCCTGCTGCTGCTTATCACAGCACCCTGTTTACTTCTGTCACATACTTATCACCATCTCTAATCATATCACTGAGGTTACACGTGTGAATGTTTATTTTATTTCAGGATGTAGATGGCAAAGATTGAAAGATTTGACTGCAAAAATGTTTTCAACTTCCCCTGATCAAAATACACCATTAAAGAAGAAGAAGAAGAGAAGAAGAAGAAGAAGAAGAAGAAGAAGAAGAAAGCGAAGACCAGAGAAAGATAATAATCTACACTGCAAAGGGTTAACGGCCTTCATATATAAAGAGGTCTAACAAGTCAATGAGACAAACAAAACATCCCTTTAAGAAAAATAGGCAGGGTATCCCTGGGTGGCTCAGCGGTTTGGTGCCTGCCTTTGGCCTGGGGTGTGGTCCTAGAGTCCTAGGATTGAGTCCCGCATCGGGCTCCCTGCGTGGAGCCTGCTTCTCCCTCTGCCTGTGTCTCTGCCTCTCTCTCTCTCTCTCTCATGAATAAATGAATAAAATCTTTAAAAAAAAAAAAAGAAAAGAAAAATAGACAAAGGACCTAAGGGATTCACCCAAAATATATTCCATCTTGGCAAAATACAAAACAGCCCCTCTCACTCAGCTGCTAGTTCATGATGTTGGAAGGGTAAAAGATCACCTATAACATTTAAATTATTTGTGTAGGGACGCCTGGGTGGCTCAGCGGTTGGGTGCCTCCCTTTTTCCCAGGCCATGATCCTGGGGTCCCTAGATCGAGTCCCATGTCAAGCTCCCTGCATGGAGCCTGCTTCTCCCTCTGCCTGTGTCTCTGCCTCTCTCCCTGTGTCTCTCATGAATAAATAAATAAAATATTTTAAAATAAATTTAAAAATAAATAAATAAATAGTTTATATACATACTGTTTGTCCCCCTGCAATGAGAATGCAAACCCCATGAGGGCAGAGCTCTATGGTCATTGCTTTGTCCCCAGGACCCGAAGAGTGCCTGACACATCCACAGCATACGCTTACATATACGTATTACGTATACGTTAATAGAAACATCTATTAAACAAGAGACTGGTTAAAAGTCAAGAATAACAAATTCCAGAATCTACTTCTAAACGGGGCGTACCAAGCTTTTGCTTATGGTTAATTGCTATGCACACAACCCTGTGGGGCAGAGCAGGTGTCATTAAGACCCTGATTTTCCAGATGAGGCGACCGTGCCACACCGAAGGTACAGAGGTAGGATTTGAACCCAGGCAGCCTCACTGCAGAACCCAACGTGCCCGACCACTTATCCTGCAGCCCCTTGAAATGAGGCCCTTGCCACCCTGGGATGTGATGGCATCGTCCAAAACTGAGGTTGAGAGATGGCAAGCGACAAAGCCAAGGTCACGGAGGAAGGAAGCTGCAATCGGTGAAAAGTCTGAGCCAGTGAGAGGTCAGAAGTGCCCGGAGTGGGGAAGCCCTCCTTGCTGGCAGGGAGATGCACTTAACTTACTCTTTTTATTTGGGAGGACGTGAGTGGCACGTCTTGAAAGGCCAGAGGCCAGCAGCAGCCAGGAAGTGACCGCACAGGCTCCTCCTGAGCCTAAAGGGGCACAAGGCCTCCTGCTCCCCGCTCCTCTTCCCTCTTGACCACAGACTGGCTTGAAGGGGGGGCTGGATGGGCAGACAGGATGCAGCCAGACCCATAACAAGGGCCCGTGAAGAGGAAGCCCGTGACAGCGGGGGGCTGCGGCGGCCTCCCCAGGGGAGCTGCTGGCCCCTGAAACTCCAGTCTAAAGCCGGCCTGGAGCTTCCTGTGTCCTCCAGGACAGCTGGGCCACCCTGGCGGGAGGCCAGGCACACACTTCTCCTCCGAGCAGCAGCCTTCCCAGAACTGCTGCCTGGCTGGGGTTCCCAGAAGCGGCAGCCACATCAGCAGCCCCACCCAGCTGGCGAGGCAGGCCAGGCCTGGGCCCCAGAATGGCCTGGCCCAGCGAGGGGAGGGCCTACTCCCACGGGGGCCGAGGATCAGCAGCCTCGGCCGGCAGAGCCCAGCAGGCTTCCCGTGGACCTACTGTGTGCTCTTGCTCCTCCCACGTGTGTCTCTGTTGTGTTTCCTGACCCCCCAAATATGTACCAGCTACTACAGACGCGGAAAAAGCCATCCATTCATTCATTAATTCACTCACTCACTCACTCATTTCTTCCTTCTCCCCTTCGACAAATACTTCAAAAGAGAAGTTCCTGGAGGTTCGTGAGCACAGATGTGACCCGATGAGACTTTTCAAACTATCCCTCTGGCTGCATGGTCTGAAAGGCCCGTGGGGTCAAGGGCAGAAGCAGTGGTCCAGGCAGCAGGTGCCAGGACGGATCAGCAAGAACGGGCTGCATTCCAGATCCGCTGAAGATAGAGACAACAGGATTTGCTGACAGAATGGACTTTGGGAAGAGGATGAATCGGGGTGGAGAATGATTCTCCTCTGTTCCTGAGCCACCAGGAGGGAGGCTGGAGCTGCCGTGCGTCAGGGTGATGCAGAGCATGGGAGGGCCCCGCGTGAGAAAGAGGCCCGTGGGGGCACTCTGGGAAGCAGCATCAGGAAAGGTAAGAGGCTGTTTGGAGGCAGCCATCGGGGACGATCCACGCTGCCCCTGGAGGGTCAGTGGTCCCCAGAGGGTCTGGGGTCCCTGGAGGGATGAAATAGAACCCCCCAGGGGAGCGTGGCTCTGTGGGCTCCGTGAGGACAGGCAATGTCCCATCCTCTGAAAGCAGAATGCTAAGCCCAGGGTCCAGCACAGAGCCCCCCACCCCCTCAATAAACAACCCCGTGTCTTCTTATTCATTCTTATTTCTACACGTATGCAGGGCTCCCTTAATACCAGGCAGTGTCCTAGATGCCTGGAGTCCTCCCTGTGAGAGGACTACAACGACAAGCCCATATTTGATCCTGCTGAGTCTTGGGGAAGGCAAGGCAGGGGGAAGGGATGAACAAGGAGTGAGTGAACACCGGGGAGGATGGAGGGCATGGCCCGTCTCCCACCCCGCGAGCCAGGCCCTTGGCGGCGGCGATGGACAGAGGGCACAGCACGGGATTTCAGACTCCGACCGTCCCCGGGGCAACAGGGAGCCACGGAAGAGGAGGAGTCACGCAGGAGAGGAGCTGCTGCCCCTGCCAGAAAGTCCACTCCAACTCGTGTGTGGACACGGGCTGTGGGTTCGAGACCCAGGCGGCCGGGTGAGGAGGGCAGGTGCTGGGGGCAGGGGGGTGGACTCAGCCCTGCAGGGAGGGAGGGGTGCTGGACTTGCTGACGCTGGCGGTGGGGGCCCGGGAGGGGAGGGGGCCCGGGGCCGGGCAGTGGGTGCGTGGGGGTGCCAGGAAGATCCCACGCCCTGCCGTGCTGTGCACGTGTATTCTCCTGGCCTGGAGCTCAGAAGGCAGGCTCAGGTCACACACAGGCCACAAGGTCACAGGCTGTGTGTGAGGCCCAGGGGGCTGCGCAGAGGGGGAGCCTTGTCTGAGAGGGCCAAGAGGGCGCTGGAGACTCCGACCAGGGACCTCCTTCGCGGGTCATGGCTAGGCCAGACCCCCTGGAGGGGGCACGGTCTCTGGGACAGGCTGGCCACTTTACGGCAGTGCGGACACTCATGTTGGCAGTATCTGCACTGAGTCCCAGCTGCCAAAGGGAACCTGCAGGGGGTGCTGGGGGCCCCCACCGAGGAGCCTGGAAGCCATGCCTCTCCTCAGAAGGTCCTGGAGGCCTCGGGGGAGGAGGCCCGCGTCCAGACACAGTGTGGTTGGGAGCAGCAGCTGATCCCTGTCACTTGCAAGCCCATTTCTCTGTTGGGCACTTAGTCCTTGTGGTTTACCACATGCACACGTGTCCTGTGCATTGTCCAAGGGCCCCCCGGACGCCAGCTCCCACAAGGCCGGAGGCTGTGTCCACTCCATCCACCGCTGGGGCCCCGGGCCCTAGTACAGTGCTCAGCACACAGCGGAGGGGCCGGGGTATGTGCTGGAGGCCGGGAGGCCTGGGCAGCCGGCCCTGACAAAAGCGGGTCACAGCCCCCCAAGTTACAATTACCCACCCCCTTAGCTGGATAAACACTGACCAATTCCAGCTCAGAATCTCCTTAGATGGTGGCCACCCGGGGGGGAGGGGGAAGGGACTGCCTGCAGAGAGCTGGTAATTGGGGCATTACCGCGATTATGGGATCTGGCCCCAGGACACTGATTTGATTTTGGCTGTCTTAAGAGACAGGCTCGGCTCTCCACGGCCCTGCTTCCTGAGGTCCTCCAAAGTCACCACCAATGCCCCTGCGTGTCCCCAGTTCCTCCAGCCATTAGAGACCATGCTCTGGGCTCTTCTGCCCCTGGGTTCCAGCCCCACCTCCCAGACTTGACTGGTCCTTCCGGACTCGACTCTGCACTTTGACTTCACCAACTCGCTTAGCCCTGCTAGCAACCCGAGGAACATGGCAGGTGCAGTAGCACCCCCACTGCAGACGCAGGGGTTCAGGAACCTGCCCCAGGACGTGTGGCTAGGAAGTGGTGGGTCTGGATCGGAACCCGGGCCTTCTGGAGCTGGAGTCCGCGGCCCAGAGCCTGGCATGAGGAAGCAGCCACAAGCTTGCTCCTTCCATACATGTCTGTTCCTCCTGGCAAGCCCCGTGTAGGAGAGGTGGTCAAACACTACTCAACCCTGCAGAGAGGGAAACTGAGGCATTCAGAAATCACCCAAGGTGACCAGGCAGGAAGTGACTGAGCTAGAACTTGGCTTCTGGCCTTGCCTGCCCAGCCCTCATGGGTTAGCTTGTCTCAACACTGACCAGGACTTTGGCCCTGGGGCCAACCCAAAGCTGGCAGCATGTCACCACAGGGAAGAGCTAGCTCCCTGTTCACCTTCTGTCTGCAGACAGGCATTTGGGGAAGGGATCTCTGCCTGGAGCTTTTCCTGCTGTCTGCCCACCCCCACCCCCCGTCATATCATCCCTGGCATGGTCAGGGACACCCAGACGTGTGGGGCCACTCACGTGGGCAGGGACCCCGGAGCACCCGAGACACACAAGCATAACTCTGGGCCCTGGCTGTTCGACAGGCCTTGGGTAAGCTGGGGGTCCTCTCAGGGCCTCCGTCTCTTCATCTGTGAAGTGAGGGCAGAACTACTTTTCTCACAGGTGGTGCAGGAGACAAGGAGACCATGGTGGGGCAGAGGAGGCCCTGGGGCAGCGTGGGTGGAGCGGGTGGCACAAGCTCATCTTCGAGCACCAAGGAAGTGTTCTGAGACTCTGAGTACATGACAGCCATGGTCAGTCTCAGGGGCGCACACCAGAGGAAGGAAGCTGGGCTCCCAAGGGCAAAACTGACTCCATTTCTGTGAAGTTCCAAAGGAGACAAACGAAACTTGGAGTCAGAAGTAAGGGAAGTGCCCCTGGTTTGGGGGGCGGGCAGGAGGGAAGCTTCTGGGTGGCTGGCCAAGCTCTGTTTCTAGGCTGGGTTCTGCACACATGTACACACTGCGGGAAAATGCACAAAGCTATGCACCTGTCTGCACAGAAGCCACGCTAAGGAGGAAAGGGAGAAAGACTGAAAAGATGCAGAGAGGCTGCCATTGGGCTCAAGGCTGCTAGGGTCCCCAAAGACCCTGCAGTCCACTGCAGACAGCACTTCCGGCCACCTTCCGCCTTTCCTGGGGCCGCTGACCCTCTGCTTAGCAGCGTCTGCACTCACTGTTCACAGCCACCCTCCCCCCCAGAGTCAACTCAAGCATCTAAGGGAACTTAGACGCATGACAATGACAGACCCTTGACACATGACAATGAGGTGCACATAGGCCAGTCCAAAGGCCAGCCGCCACTCTGCTTCAGCTGCTTTTTGCCACTTCAGCAAAAGCCTGGGCATTGCTAGGTCTCTTGACGGTTCAAAAAGCAGCTAGAAATCCAGATTTCTATGCTTATTTTCCTGACTTTTAACATCTGGAAAACAGGTCCAGTTTGTGGTCCCTCTTCAGATTTTTTTTTTTTTTGGTTGTTGTTGTTGTTGTTGTTTTAAAAGATTTTATTTATTTATTCATAAAAGGCACAGAGAGAGAGAGAGAGAGAGGCAGAGACACAGGCAGAAAGAGAAGCAGGCTCCTTGCGGGGGGCCTGATGCGGAACTCGATCCCAGGACTTCAAAATCACACCTGAGCCGAAGGCAGATGGTCGACCACGGAGCCACCCAGGCGTCCTTGTGGTCCCTCTTTGGCTTCCAACCACCAGCTGATGTGCTCCAGGGTGGGTGGGCGTCCTGAGATGCCACCAATGAGGCACGAGGAGCAACAGGTGAGAACCCGCAGCCTGGGCACAGGCACCCCCAAAGGCAAAAGGCCGCCTTGTCAAATGCCCCCTCCCTTCTGTCCCTGTTACCTCTTGCTCATTATGGGGATGTGGTTGCTATGGTGATGAGAAGGGAGTGGGCCTGAAGACCCCCCCCATCACCTGCTCTTTGTGGCTGAGCAGCATCATGGGGTCACATGAGGAGCCTCAAAATTCTGCAAGCCCCATGCCTTCCTCCTTCGTAAGGGAGGATGCTCCCCTGCCCACCCTGTGCTCTCCCAGCCCTGCCCACCTGGTCCCCAGGTGCGCCAGGTCCCCAAGTCTCAATGCCATAGCCCCATGGGACACACCCTGCTCTTTCCTCAGCCCTTCCCCTGGCTGCCCCTCTGTCCCAACATCCCTGCCAGTCTCCTGAGTAGGACCTGTGCCTTCTTCCCCCTCCTTTTCCAGCCTGGAAGTTCCTTCAGGCCACAGACAGTGTCCGCCTCATGCACCTGTTTGAACAGAGGAGGCAGCCAACCAGGGGCAGCCACAGTGAAGTCCACCTTCGCCCTCTGGGTGCGGTCCCCCCTCCCAGGTCTGCCTCGGCTCACGCCCTTCTCACGGCCTGGAATGCCAGCTCACATTCACACCCAGAGACGAGCCTGCGCACAGGGATGGCAGCAGGATCTTTCACAGCCACGATTCCAGTTACTTTCCGGAGAGGAGAGGCAAAGTGAGTCATAGTCCCATTTTATGGATGAAGAAAATAAAGGCCAAATAGGCAAAAGGACCTGCCTCCAGATGGCTGGGCAAATGGGCTGCACAACCGAGACTGAGATGTACGGTTTTTTTTTTTTTTTCAATTTATGTGGTTGTAAGACTAGGTAGGGTCAAAGAAAAGTTAAGAAAAATGGTCATAAAGGGAACAAGTACAGGAATATGAATAATAAATAAAACGGAATTCAAGGCAACAAAGTATTAAAAGGGAGAAAGGTGGCTATTTTATGATAAAAGGAGCAATTTCCCAAGAAAGTACAAAAATCATGAACCCTTCTCCTACTCATATATTCTATATATATTGCACCGAACAATATGATTTTGAAATTAAAGCAAAAACAAGAAGAAAAGGCCAAGGAGACATGAACAGATCCTCTATTAGAGCAGGAGATAAATCAGATAGAGAAAAACACACAAACACAGAAAATATGAATGATGTCATGATCAAGCTTGATCTAACAGATTTCTAAAACTTTACACCCATCAGAAAATATACATCCTTTCAAATACAGAACAGAAACATACAGAAAAACTGACCAGAGACTCTTACAAGGACCTCGACAAATTCTCCATCATCGATATGACACAAGTCATAAATACTGACCATAATGCAATAAATTTAGACTCCAACAATACAAAGATTACCTTAAAAAAATCCATATACCCTAAAAAAAATTGAAGTGCATAACACTCGTCATCAAAATGGAAATTGTATACTATTTTAGCAGTGAATGACATTGTGTAACTAGACCCAAGGAGTTAAGCCAAAGGAGTACTCAAAGAAGAAAAAAAAAATATATATATATATATATAGGCACTTAGCCTGAAGCAGATTTATTAGAAAAACTAGAAAGGCTAAAAACAAGTGTCAGCCTCAAACAAGGATTCTCAGAATAGAAGAAACTTTGATGGACAGCAATGGAGAAGAGAGATCTGAAGGTTTTAGCTGGCAAGCCCAATGTGAGCTCCAAGGGGGATGTGGCCACTCAGAAATATGACTGCAGGTTCTATCAACAGAGGTATGTGCTCCAAATCCAAGGAGGTGATAGTCTCCCTCCCCCGTGACTGGGCCGACTTTGGCGGCGGGGAGTTGGGGAGGAGGCGGCAACAGATTTGACTTTGACCAACTGGATCATGTCCAAAGCCAGACCGAACTCTTTACAATCCCTGGAGTCAGGAAGAATGACGGCAAGAAGTATGACTATGTATTCCGCGAAAGAGAAATGTCGGGCTCAGGTTGGAGGGGGCCTGTTACTACTTCCAAGGGGCAGAACCGGAGCCAGGATGGGAATGCTACTGGACAGTTAATTTGGCTAGATCTCAGGAAGAGATCTTCTCCCAAGTTCAGGCCGCCCAGCTGTGAAAATGCAGCTTGTGGAGGGCCTACGCTCCATCTCCGGAGGCAAGACCGTCAAGAGGCTGCGGCTCCACGGGCTTGGAGGAGGCCTACCCCGTCCAGGGATCTGGTGTCTCTCCTCTCCAGAGAAGTTCCGTTTCCTCTTTTGAAGAGGCAGAGAACACTCTGGCTCCTTCAGGAAAACCTCAGGGCTTCCCCCGTTCGCCCAAATGGCTCTTGGTAACTGCGCTGCTTCATTTCTGACCAACACGCACGGTCCGTTGCGACTCCACTCCTCGAGCTGGAGGCCCCCAGAAGAGCAGCTAAAGGCAGAGGCCCCAGGTCAGCAGCCTCGGGTTTGAATCCACCCTCTGCCTCTTTGGGGTTGTATCTCTCAGATCAGCTCCCACCCTGAGCCTCGGTTTCCTCCTCGGGGAAATCTACCCCTGCATCTACCCCCCTCCCCACCCCCACCGGCACAGTGCCCGATGGGCAGAGGGCCCTCCACTCATCCTCTTCCACACCCCCTTGCGCTTTGGTGTGTCCTCACCGCCTGTGGCCGGGAAGGTGCTCGCCGGTTAAAAAAAAAAAAAAATCTGTAAAATGATCCACACGATGATTGCACCGTCTGGAACACCACCCTGCCCCACCACATCCCCAGCGTGTGTTCAAACACCGTGCAAAGGACACAGGATCCTGGAGCTGCCAGGTTCACAGCCCCACTCTGCCACCTGTGTGGCCCCGGACAAGTCACTAAACCATTCTGTGCCTGTTTCTTCGTAAGCTTACTTTACAAGCTAAATGAGCTGCTGCAGGCGTCTGGCTTCTGTTTAGGCCCCTGACCTATGTTCCTCCCCACTCTCTGTCGTGCTCAGGTCCGACCACATCAGCTTCCTTGTGGGTCAGACACACCAAGCTTGTTCGCACCTCAGGGCCTTTGCACCTGCTGTTCCCTCTGCCAGAATCACTCTCCCATTTCCCCAGACATCCACATGTCTTTTTACCTCGGGTCTTAGCTCAAAAGTCACCTCCCTCACTAGACTGTCAGCTCCACGAGGGCTCTTGCATCTGTGTCACTGCTGTGACTTGCATCCCTGTCCCTGACACGTTTGCTGAGTGAGTGCAAGCCTGGTGCTGACACTCAACACATGTACGTGCCTGTACCTTCTAGGTGCATAATCAGCCCCTTTTTAAACCCGCTGCTCAGAAATACAGTCCTTCCCCTTTAGGAAGCGTTCCACCAAACCCAGGAGGCCAAGCTGTCTTCCCCTCACATGGACCCACTTCCTCCCTCTGTCCCTGTGGTGGGGAGGTGGGCGGGGACTCAGAGGCTAGCCCAGCTGGTGATCTTCTCCTGCAGATCCAAGCCCCTGGATCTCTAAAGCAACCTCGAGAACGTGATATGGGCCCCTAGGGTGGAAATGAGTCAGTCAGAGCCAAACCTGAAATCTTAGAGGCATGGCCACTTCTTGGAAAGGCAAAGACATGCGTGTTTAGACAGATCTGTGTGCCCAGAGCCAAGGACAAGCAGTGGGCCAGGAAGTGGGGTTGGTGGGGTGGACAAGACCTTCCCTGGGGTTCCCTCCACTGGGCCTGTTCTTCCCCAGGCCCCTGCCCCACATCTTCCTAAATGTCCACCCTCACCCTGCTTTACATTTTCCTCCTGGTCCTGATGGGACACTGCAGGGCCCTGTTGTCTCATGTGAAATCCTGGGGGCCAGGCATGTCTCAGAATTCACAGGAGCTCGTATTATGGAAGGGTCATCTGGTATAAAGTCCCACCCGACATAACCACCCTACCCCCCAGAGGCCCAGCATTCCCTGGATCGCTCACATTAATTCCTCTGCACCAAGACACACAAGCATTCGTGCCAGGGAGGATAAGCAAACACACCAAAGAGCCTCGTGATTAGTTCACCTCAGTCTCGCTTCCAATCGAGTTAGGGAAAAACTTTCGGTTTTTAGAGCTTGCAGATTTCAGAATTAGAAATAAGGGCGACTAGACCTGTTTAGAGTTGTTTGCTTGTGTATCACCTGTCTTCTCAATTAGAATTGAAACTCCAGGGACACCTGGGTGGCTCAGCGGTTGGGCCTCTGCCTTGGGGTCAGGTCGTGATATCCGGAGTCCCGGGATCGAGTCCCTGCATCAGGCTCCCTGCAGGGGGCCTGCTTCTCCCTCTGCCTATGTTTCTGCCTCTCTCATTCTCGGTGTGTCTCGTGAATAAATAAATAAAATCTTAAAGAAAAAAAAGAAGAAGAAGAAACTCCAGAAGAGCAAAGGCTTTGTCCACTGCTCTATAAGTAGCTCCTAGAACATACAGGTGCTTGACAAATATTTGAAGAAATGAATGAGCAAGCCAGGTGCTGGGTATGGAGAAGTGATTATCCTAGAAAGAAGAGAAACAGCAATCCCTGAGCCGTGGGCAAGGCGCCTACAAAAATTATCTCAGGAACACCCCCCACCCATGCCCATTTTAGTGGCTTTGGGGGTGGGGTTCAGCAATTTGCTCAAGATCACACAGAGAGGAAACAGCAAGTTCATATTTGAACCCGGGGCCCCTGTCTGCAAGCTTGTGCTCTTCTCTCTGCCTCAGGCTCAGGGAAGCAGAGTGACTTACTGGAAGTCACACCACAGGGACACGGGATGGCCTGGCCACTGCAAGACCCTTCAGGCTCCGCTGGGCTTCCACACTCTTGCACGGTCAAGTTCATACGAGGAATGGCAAGCCACTGGGCTCTCTTCTAGCCTAGCCAAGGGGATTCTGGCCAAGTGTGACTAGTCATGTCCTGGGTAATGAGGAACGCTCAGAAAGATGCCCCTCTTGCTAACCCGAGCAAACCGGCACAGTGGGAGAGTACACAGGCTGGGAAGAAAAGCAGATTCAAATCCCTCCCTGTCACTCCTAGATACACCGCCTCAGGCAAGGCCACTGCACACATCTCTGGATCTGTGTCCTGCCTGGCAAAATGGGTACATTAAAGCCCGTCCAACGTGGTTCATTTATTTATTTAACAAACACATAGTGGTCATGCATCGCCAGACACTGTCTGATGCTTGACATTTATTCATTCATTTAATCACCATTCCAGTGGTATAAAGTAGTCACTGTAATTTCATAAACGGGGAGACTGAGGTCCTGAGAAATTAGAAAACTGTAAATCCAGCGTGTGAACCTAGGCAATCTGGCTCCAGAGTCCATGCTCTTAACCTCCAAGCTGTACTTCTTAATGGGCAAAAACAATTATGTTCATTGCGCTGGACTGCATGTTGGAAATTGTGTTAAGTATCTTATAAAACATCATGTCCTCAACCCTCATGAAAAGTCCAACTTGACAAACGTGAAGCACTGGCACGGGGGCTTCTGTCCCTACCTCACTCCCAGGTACCCCCAAAGGCAGCTGAGGGCAGTGGGGCCACTTGACCCCAACCTCCCTCCTCTGTCCTGGGGGCGCAGAGAGACAGGGACATAGGGAGAGAGGGATCCGGGACAGGCTCTCGCCCCACTTCTCTGACAGTGCCTTTCAGCTCCATTTCCAAATCAGAGCAGCAGGAAACCAGCTGTCTTAGGGCACCACCTCCCTGCCCCTGTCTGGGCTTTCTGCAATCCTGAAATCGTGCATATAAAACACATCAGTTATTGAATCACTGCCCAGAATTTGGAAATCTTCAGGTCATCCCAGACCTGCTGGTAACTGGGTGTGTGGTAACCAGGGTGACTGACACACTAGCGGTTTTTCCTCCTTGCTGCTTTCCCATGGCCTCCCTCCAGATTTGGCTCCGGAGGTCCTGGGTGAGGCCCAGGAATCTGCGTTGTGTTTTCAGGGGCTCAGGCAAAGGTGAGGTGCACTGGGCCACACTCCTCAGCATGGCATTCGAGGGCTTCCACAATGTGGCCAGACCCGCCTTCCCATCTGTGTCTGGCTTCTCCCCCCTTCCCCAGCACTGCTGGAGCAGTGCCCAGTAGGAGCCCCGTGGGTGCCAAGGAATGAACGGATGACTAGGGCTGGTTGCCTCCCATTCCACACCTCAGCATCCTCACCTGCAGCCATGGGGCAAGTGAGCTGCGCTCAAAGAGCCTTTGCAGGACTCTGGAATGCCCTGTGTGTGTGTGGGGGGGGGGACACCAGGGACACCCTAGACAAATGTATACCTCACCCTCAGTCTCCCCCATCAGACTTTAGGATTTTAATAAAGGCACCAATGTCCCAGCAAACGCCCAGGCTTCTAAAAGGCCACCCTCACCTGAGGAGCTGCAGGGGTGGAACCTCACAGAGAGCTAAGGAAGAACAGCGGAGAGGGTGGCGGGGGAGCCACCTGCAACAGCAGCAGGGACACCGTGTTTGCCTGGTCCCCAGTCTAAGAAATCCTGATTACGTGCGCACGCACGAGTTGTGTTAAGATCTAGATTCCTGTTTTTACTGAATCTGAATCTCACTGAAGGCAGCCTGGGAAGCCGCCTTTTAATAAAACCCCCCGGATGATTCGTTGATGGGATGAGGGAGTTTGACAAATACTAGGGACAGGTGGAAGACGACAGGCTCTGGCGACAGACCGCCCGGGTCTGAAACCTGCTGCACATCTGCAGGCGGGAGTCACCTCGGGCAAAATGTTTAAAGCGCCGGGGGAGGGGGGGAGGGGGGGAGGGGGGCCTCAGCGTCCTCATCTGAAAAATGGAACGATCCACACGCCGTCGCACCCACCGAAACGGGGGGTCTCGCGATTTAAGTCAGAGCAGTTTCAGAGTTCCGGACGTAAGCTGGACCACCTGAGTCCAGGGGGCATTTGGTCGCTACTGTTACTGGGTCCATCCGGCATTTAAATAAGGACAGAAAGGGACCGCAGGGTCCGGCTTCCCAGACGCCGCCTCGAGCTGGTCACCAAGGTCAGTTTTCGGAACTCCCCGCCCCCGCCCCCGCCCCCGCCCCCACCCCCACCCCAGGCCCGGTCCTCACCCGCTTCCTGCGCGCAGGGCAGGGGGTGATCGCGGAGACCACGAGCCTCGCCTGACCCCAGGTCCCCGAGGGGCCGGCCCCGCGGGCGCCTCCCTGCCAGCGCGAGTCTGGGGGCGCGCGCCGGGGGTCCCCGGGGGCGCGCGCACGCTACCCCCACGCCCACGCCCACGCCCACGCCCCACGGGGTGACCCGGAGGCCGCTCGAGGCGCAGGGAGGGGCGGGCTCGGAGCAGCCCCGATGATGGGGTCGGGGCGCCCCCGGGGGTCCCCGCGCGCGCGGGCTCCGCGACCTACCTGCGCGCCCCGGGTCCATTCGCCGCGCCGGCGCCCGAGCGGGAAGTGGGGGACCCCCGGGTGGCCCGTCCTGCCCGCGCCGCGCGGGGTTTTCCTGAGCGCCCGCCGGCCCGCCCCGGCTTCCTGCGCCCCGCCCCCGCCTCTGCCCCCGCCCCTACCCCTGCCCCGCCCCTGCCCCGCGCGCGCCCTCTGCCGCCCGCCCCGCGCCCCGGCGGCGCCCCGGGACCCCTCGCCGCGCCCTGCGGAGGGGCAGGTGCAGCGGGGCTGGCGGCTGGGCGGCTCTCCTCCCTGCCCCCTCCACCCCCCACCCCCCCGCTCCTGCTAAGTGCCCCGGGGTGCCTGCCGCCGCCCAGTGTTTGCCGAGCGCCTACCCAGCGCCTACCCTATGCTGGGCGCCACAAGAATGCAGGCAAACAACCCTCCTGCCAGGGGCTCGTGCAGTCCGGCAGGCCCCGCTCCGGGCTCCGCACCTACTCATCCGTGTGATCCGCACAGCTACCCTGCGAGGGAGCTAGATCACTAGCACTCATTTTACAGGTGGGGAAACTGAGGCACGGAGGGCAAACGTGCTGAGAATCACCCAGCAGGTGTGGGATTTGAGCCCAGGCGCCGCTGAGCACTAACCGCTGGACACCGTAAAAGCCCCCAAGGGAACCAGACGGTGGGGAAGAACACTAAGTGAATCAAGTATTTCAGGTCCCAAGAGGACCCAAGAAGAAAGTAAAACAGAGAGAGGCGGGGATCCCTGGGTGGCTCAGCGGTTTGGCACCTGCCTTTGGCCCAGGGCACGATCCCGCATCGGGCTCCCGGCATGGAGCCTGCTTCTCCCTCTGCCTGTGTCTCTGCCTCTCTCTCTCTCTCTCTCTCTCTCTCTCTCTCTCTCTGCGTCTCTATCATAAATAAATAAATCTTAAAAAAAAAAAAAAAAAACAGAGAGAGGCCTTTAAGGCCAGTGGGGGTGAGACGGGAGGGGGGGGCAGACAGTGGTTGAAAGGTGTCCCTGATGCAAGGATATTTGAGCTGAACCCTAAGAGAGTATGGGGGAAGACAATAGAGAGGGGGGGCAGCATGTGCAAAGGCCCTGGGGTGGCATGTGGGAGGAATTATCTGATAGCTGGCTGGAGAGCCTTGAGGGGAGAATGGAAAGAGGTGAGGTAAGAGATGTGCACACTCAGGCCAGGTAGCACTGGAGACCCAGAGAGTGATTTGACCCCATCTTAGCCTGGTCTTAGAGTAGAGACAAAGTCCTTCAGAGCTAAGGACAGCCCAGTGGAGTTGCTGTGGTGGAGGCGTGAGCCAGGGAAGCAGGGAAGCTTCTGGTGAGTTAGGATTGGCTTCCTGGGGGAGGGGACACAGTACCTGCATCCTCTTCCATTATTCTTCGTGCACTCTTTCTCGGCCCTGCTGCGGGCCTAACCCTGTGACAAGTGCTGAGGACACAGATACGAAGATATGAAATAAACATGGGCCCTGCTCTCTGAGACCAGAAAACTCAAGTATGTGAGAGTAGACAGTAGACAGTAGACAGTCTCTGGGAGTCAGGGATGGCTTCCCGAAGGAGGTGGCCTCTGATGGTCACCCCCAAAGGTCAGTGCAGGAGAGCGAGGGAAAAGGGAAAGGCATTCAGGCAGAGAGATCGGGGTTGAGCAAACACCTGGGGGTGAGAAAGCCTGTAATTATTCAGCATCTACATGTTGGTGTCTCCGTGTGCCAGGCCCTGAGCTGGGGACTGGGGAGAGACCCATCTCCCGCTTTCCTAGGCCGGGGGGGTCTGGCTGGGGCCCTGACAATCGAGAAACTTGAGAAGTTGGGTGTAATGAACACTTGGGCCAGCCGCCCCAGGCAGCAGGCAGAGCAGGCTCGGCAAGGAGAGGGAGCTTGACCAGACATGCTGCAAATTCCAACTGGTCAGATGGGGATTCCGCATTTCACACGAATTCTGCAAATTCTGTGAAGAGCCACGGGGGTGGGGGGGGGTGGGGGGGGCTCCAGTCATTGCTTCACTGACAAGGTTTATTCCTGCCTAGAAAAGCTTGCATACACATTCACCCTGTCCTTACACCCACTCACTCACATTCCCACTCACGTACTCACCCATCCACGCACACGCACCTGCACACGTTCATACTTATCCACGCACATTCGTTCACCCATATGTTCTCAGACTTACACTCATCCACATGCTCCACGTGTTCACACTGATGCACACTCACACTGCCACCGGCATTCACACCCACACATGGGGACTTGAACTTGTGTATGACTGACCCTTGAACGACATGCGTGGGGGGTTGGGGTGCTGACCCCTTGACAGTGGAAAATCCATGTATAACCTTTGCCCGAAAATGTAACTAGTAATAGCGCACTGTTGATGAGATGCCTTACTGACAACGTAAACAGTTGATTGCCCATATTTTGCATGTCATATGTATCATATACTGTATTTTTACAATAAAGTAAGCTAGAGGCGCATGGGTGGCTCAGTTGGTTAAGCCACTGCCTTCGACTAAGGTCATGATCTCAAGGTCCTTGGATAGAGCCCCGAGTTGGGCTTCCTGCTCCATGGGGAGTCTGCTTCTCCCTCTCCCTCTGCCCCTCCTCGTTAGTCATGTGCATGCTCTTCCTCTTTGTCTCAAAATAAAGTATTTTTAAAAATAATAAGTAAGAGAGAGAGCACACAACTGCATAATAACTTCTCTCCACCAATATAGCAACATGAGCCCTGGAAGCCACTGATCTGTTTACTATCCCTACCCTCGGTGCTCAGCATGGAGCCCTACTCAGGGCTCAATCTCTTGCCCTTGAGTTCATGACCTGAGTCAAAAACCAGGATTCTGATGCTCAACCAACTACACCACCAGGCACCCCAATAAATGCAATCTTTAAAGAAGGAATAAAGTAAGCTAGAGGATAGAAAATGTTAGAAAGTCACAAAGGAGAGAAAATACATTTGCAGTACTGGACTATAGTTATTGAAAAAAATCCGCATGTAGGTGGACCCACACAGTTTCGACTGTGTTAGTCAAGGGTCAGCTCTACTTGTATGTGCCCACTCCCTTTACACACTCACACCTGCTCCCACACAGTTGGTGTTTGAACCCGGGCAGTAGAGCGCTGACACCACCAAGCTTCCCCTTGTACAGATGAAATTTCTTTTGCCCCATGTTGGTGTCTCACACGGAGACATGGGTCTCCCTTTGGGAGCCTGCACCGTCTGCCCTCCCTGACTCCTAAACCGGCCCCCACCCTCACTCTGCCACCAGACCACCTGCGTCCACACACCAAGTCCACTACTTAACCAACTGTGGGACTTTGGGACTTTGGGTAAGGGCTGGGGGGGGGGGTCACTGTCGCTGTGCCTTGGCTTTCACATGCACAAAGTGGGATCATGGAGGGTGGAATGCCAGGCACAGGGCTTGCAACAGTGACCGGTGCCCAGCACATAGTAGGTGCACAGCGAATGGTAATCATTGTTCTTATCAGAACAAAGATCAGAGGGATGCCTCGGTGGCTCAGCGGTTGAGTGTCTGCCTTTGGCCCAGAGCATGATCCCAGAGACCCAGGATCGAGTGCCACATTGGGCTCCCTGCATGGAGCCTGCTTCTCCCTCTGCCTGTGTCTCTGCCTCTCTCTCTGTGTGTGTCTCTCATGAATAAATAAATAAAATATTAAAAAAAAACAAAGATCAGAAAGAGACCTTTCCCTCGGGCTGTTTGCTTGGTTGTAAATTGAGGGTGAGGACAGTTACTAGAGAGACGGGGAACGGCAGAGCCATGTGGTCCAATGAGAAGACTTTGGAGAAGCCAGGGGAAGGGAACACAGGAATTCTCTGTGCTCTTCCTGTTATCTTTCTATAAATCCAAAATGATGTCAAAATAGAAGTTAAGGAGAACGGGGCATTGTCCTGAGGCCCCATAGGCAGTAAATGTGAACTCTGTCATCTCGAATACAGTTTCAGTATTCAAATTCACCTGCCCATGCTGTCCAGAACTGATCAGTGGCTGCTCTGTGTCAGGCATTGGAAGGGAGCCCGGAGGCCCCCAAATAATAAAAATTCAGTCCCCTAACCCAGGGGGTTCCCAGGGTGCTTCCATATAAGTTCAGCTCACATGACGTCATAACAGATTTGTTTTAAGCCTTTAGAAAAGTAATGAAAATAAAATCGCTTGACAACAGGTGTCAACTTACAGAAAAATGGGTAGTACAGAGAACTCCCGTACACCCCCTCCCCTGAGCATGATTTCCCCCATTAGCCACGTCTTGCCTTAATGTGGTATATTTGTTACAGTCGGTGACCCATATTTATACCTTATGATTAACTCAAGTCTGCAGTTTGCTTACATTATGGTTCTTGCCGAGATAGTTTGGACAAAATTACATTTTGACAAATGCACAATGATTTGTATCCACCAACGCAGCAACAGTGAACCCTGGAAGCCACTGACCTATTTTACTGTCCCTATAGTTTACCCTTTTTCAGAATGTTATATAGGTGTTTGCAGGCTGCAGATAGTCTCTTAAAACTGGTTTCTGTCACTTAGCCATATTATTTTAGGATTCCTCTGTGTCCTTTCATGGCTCATAGCGCTTTCTTTTTTTTTTTTTTTCTTTTTTTTTTAGTGCTGAATTCCATCATCTGGATATACCACAGTTTATTGATTCACTTATTACAGGGATCCTCAATTGCTTTCAGTTTGGGGCAATTAGGAATAAAGCTGTTGGGGATCCCTGGGTGGCTCAGTGGTTTAGCGCCTGCCTCCAGCCTGGGGCATGATCCTGGAGTCCCACGATCGAATCAGGCATCGGGCTCCTTACATGGAACCTGCTTCCCCTCTGCCTGTGTCTCTGCCTGTCTCTCTCTCTCCCTCTCTCTCTCTCTCTGTCTGTGTGTGTCCCTCATGAATAAATAAATAAAATCTTTAAAAAAATAAAAAAAGGAATAAAGCTGCTATAAGCACTTGTGTGCAAGTTTCGCATGGGCATGTTTTCAACTTCTTTGGGTAAATACTGATGGAGTGCCATTGCTGGATCATATGGTCAGAGAACATTCCGTTTTGTAAGAAACTTTCAAACACTCTTCCAAAGTGTCTGTACCCTTTCAATTCTCAC